ATATTATCATTTTATTTTTTTTAATTTTCATACAAAATATATTTTTTATAAAACCCGATTTGTATGAAAATTAAAATGATTAAAATTAAGATATCAATGTTCTGACTTCACCATACCATTTATATGACCATGTTAACATGGGCTAGTGTCGGCTCATATACCCATTTACCTAACACCCTGTATAGTGTCATATTATGATACAAAATAAAAATTCTTACTTGTACAATCCTGTAGGTAAACACGAGATAACACAGGTTCATTGTAACTATGTTAATGAGAACACTCGATCTGCTAATTTCAATGATATCATTCTTAATCATAGCGTTGATACTGTGTAGGTATGTGTTTCTATAGGGTATGAATTTCGTAATAGGTACTTACTATACATAATATGTCTGGTACATAATTATTTACCTACAAAGCTTTTCTAGTTAAGACTGAATAGACAAAAACACGTTGGGATAGCTTTCGAACAAAATTGGTAAATTCTTTTAGAGTAATAATAGCATTTCGACTAGTTTTACGACAAGCGCTACATCATGTCAATATAGGGTTTAATCCTTCTGAAAACTTTTGCCTTTAATTTTCAAAGACGCGACGACGCAACGCCCACTTCAATTGCTACAAAAATGTTTGGCATCTTAATTCTTTGTTAGAACACTGATATTATACATTGCCGTTTCTACATATTGTGCCATTTTAGACCCTCTCGGTGCCACTTCTGCAGCAATAAATTCAAGCTAAAACTAATTTTAGTGTTCCCAACTAACTAATGGTTGTAAACAGCTTAGTTAACGCTAAGTTAAGTTTATAGGCCCGGTTTAACTGCAACTTGCATTGCAGTGACATCACCACTCGAAATTAGGTATTGCGAGTGAGGCCCACGCATATAGTTCTTGATTTTATAATGCTTGTAGGTACTGACGTGTCCTCATATAGTCATAATTCGATCAGGTCAGACTTATTAGAATCATTGTTTCACTCAGTAAAAAGAAATAGATGATTAATTGGTTCAAAGGCAATTAGTCCTTTTACTCGTAGATTTGATTTTGCCTGTTTCAAAAAGAGTTAAATGACAAAGAATATAGGTACTAGGTAGGCAGCATGTTTTTTTAATCATTACCATCCCTTCAGCTTATCATTATTATAGTTGAAGAAACATAATTTCTACTCAAGGACGAATTTACAAGAACTTAAAACGCGTCTGCGCGCGGGATTTTTTATATGAAATCACGCAGACCGCGGCGGAGCGCGGCGTAGTGTGATAATCGCCCAACACCATAAAACAACAACAAAATAATAGTTAGCCCAAATTAGTCCAACAGCGAAACGATACCATCTGTGTATCTAATCACGATATTCCCACGGTGCTAGCGATTAAAATTTAGTTTTCATGTGGTGTTAATAGCTAAAACATTACGCCTAGTTATCCAGATGTTAACAATTTAGGCGGCTGGATTTCAATATCGAGGCTGTCTCTAAGGCATGGTAATACAATACTATGGGCTTATACATAAAACTCGTGCAGGGTGTATGTTTGTATAATGAAAAACTTTTTTTGTGATTGCAACTAATTTTAATTACTTATTACGCAGCCCTGAAAAATCAGTTACTAACCTCTTCTCTACAGTAATTTAGGTATTATTAACGATGCGTGGTAGTCGTTAACTCTACATTAAAAAAGATATACTAAGAATCTTAGGTCTAATGAAACAACAAACAACATTAATATAAGGACCGTAAGGTAGAGTTAAAGGATATAAAGTGAAGGAGCAGTGTTCTCAAAGGGACGCATTGCCTAGGTTACCTTTGTCATATTAAACAAGCTAAGGCTAGGGAAAACTAGGCACAGTAACAAAGACGATGTTTGGTTTTTCTAAGAATCTAGTCACTGTAAGAGATCTTAAGATTTAAATTAGTACCCAGTAAACGTGGGTAGACGTCACAACGTGTGAAAGCAATTAAAACATGTCTCTCTAAGCTTTCGTTTGATTGAGCTCTACAAGAGTTTATTTTAAGCGTAATTAGAATAACTCCATACGAGAATCTAATTAAAGTTGTGTATATGACATTACACGTGTATCATAATGTTACACAGATGACACAACTTATTAAAATAACCATAATAAGTTGTATTATGACAATTTGTCTTGAGAACCTTTCGGTTCTATGTGTAACTGTAACACACTAACGGTAGGATCTGCATGTAGTTTTAATTTGCAGATGAGTGTGACGCGATGAGACGCTTGAACGGAAGGAAGTCAATCTAACCTAACCAACTGCGTATTTCTATACTGTGTAGCCGCGAGAGCTCTTTGGCGCGCTGTCTTCGGCGAAGTATTGCGCGCGCAGATTTTGACAGCGCGAAATACCTACTTTAGCAGAAATACCAAGCCTTAACTAATATTATCATAAAATATAAAATGATTAACAAGGTTATATTAAATTCTACTTTGAAAATAATCTCATTTTGCTAACACTAGTATGCCGTTTTGGGTTGTAATTCAAACACAGTGCAACGAGAACCGCCAACAAGAGCTGTCTTGCCTGAACTGAAATGCAGAAAAACAACAATTTGAAAAAGCTACCCAAATAATGAATTCAATAGTCAAATATTCATTATTTATGGAATATCTACCTATGTATATAAATATTTATAGTAAACAAAGTCGGAATTGCCATTAATACCATATACATCCAATTTCGTTCTCTATGTTAGAGTGCCATTCTAATTCCGGAACAAAAGGTGCTTATAATGGCTCTGTCAATGGGATCAGGGGAATTAAACTTCTAGCCAATTTGTTTTGACATGTTCTATTTAAGTATTGATTACATTTTACGCGTCCCTGTAGGGAAAATTTTGAGGGTTATTAAAGGTCTTAAAATGTATGTATTCTTCCATTTTATTGAACACGAGAGTCACTTTTACAAATCCCATAGGGAAAATTGAAAATCGTACAAGCAATTTAGAGAAGTTAAAAGTTATTGGACTATGAAATGCATATCTTCTTCCATTAAATTATAAGACGAGAATCACTCGTAAATAATTTAAATAATAAGCTCGTAATAAGCCATATTTAATAAACCAGTTGCACTAGCTAACTTTGAGTCACCATACAAGTCTGCGATCAGAAACGCTGCAAAACTCGCAAAAGGAACATCACGCGCGGAGCAATGAGTCAAACGACTGTTTGTGTCACCGCGGTCAAGAATAACCTTTGGTGATTGAGTTCTTCTTATTTGTCACTATGTAGGATACTTCGGTTTGAACTTCCAAATGAAAATTGTAAGAAGAGTTTGAAGATAAAAGATGCTTAAAAGTAGAGGGAATACACCAGTATTATAGCATCTAAGAAGTCATAAACCTAAACAATCCGTTTGATATAACGAATTAAATTCACTTAAGCTTGAGTATAATTTCATAATACGGGTCTAATCAAAGCTTAATCAAATCTGCTGACGTTAGCTACGTACATACATACATGCACAACTCAATTACTCATATTAGAGAGGAAATAACTAACATGCCTGTACAATATTTGTTCCATTCCAACAACGATTCGATTAGGGATTTAATTTATTTGGTACTTACTTCCGTGAAGATTCTGAACAAAATCACTCCTAATTTATTTCGAATTCAATCCAATTCTTATTCAGAACATCTGCGAATTACCTACTGATATCTTCGGTTTCGAACAATTTCACGGTGAGTAAACAATCCAAGGGTATTTATTATACTTTAGTAATCGGTGGCTTATAATATCTACCTACTCGTAGTATAGTTACAGGGACTAATTACATTAAACTACCTAAATTAGGTATAGCGGGTAATGATCTTCGATATGAATCCAACAAACAAACAAAATATCGATTTAGCAACAATGTTATCAGACTAGAAGTTCAGTAGGTTAAAGCACTCTTATCAATTCACAAAATATAACGCACAATCTACCATTTTCAAGATCTAAGCATTTTTAACTGTATGGTGCAAATTATAAGAATGTTTTTGCTATGAAGGTTATTGTTTGTATGAATGTTGAACTGGTGAACCTTGATACAATTTCTTCTTATATTATTCAGTGACTAAAATAATAAGTATTCAAGTTATTTAGTAAGGTAAGTAGGTATGTAACTTAAAAGATCTCAATCAATTTATGAAACTTTTTTGCTTCATGCTATTTAAAATACCCTAAATCAGATAAACGAGAAAGACAAAGAAAAGATGTACAAAACTCGGAATGCGTAAGTTCTTGTACATAAAGTAATATCCAATGAACTTGTTAGGAAAATAACCCAGAATATGTAAGTAAGGGACCTTAAAGAATTCATAAACTTATGCCAAAGGGTCTTCGCTTCGCAGAATTGATTATTCTGTCAATACCAAACGGCCCGCTCTCAGAGATGATGCTAACACCTTATAAAAATTCACCATCTTTCTTTCAGTGTAACGAACATTTGAAATTTAATTCTAAAGTAAACGTTTGAAATCAAATGTATTTCAGTGAAAGTTCCAGCGTCAAAGAAGTTAATAGTACTTAATCAAGTTAAACGAAATTCAGTGCTTTTTGACTTTTGGCCATGAGATTTCTACAAATACTCGTACATTATACTAATTGATGTAGTTTACTTATTGTATGTAAGGAATTATGTAGGCTTAAATCATATATCTGCCGTTTTCTATCTGCCTAACTGGTTAGTGGTATTGAAGTGATACTTACTTTGATGTTTGGCTCCGACATGGATTCGATGGCTGTCCAATGAATGAATGTATGTAGAGTGAATATATTTCAAAAAGTTTCTAGAATATCTAGAATTATTTAAAGTAGGTACCAAAGAAGCATGATTCTACCTACTGCACCGTAAAATGTTAATTCACGACAGTCAAAATTTAAAGCGCCCTTCCAAAGCGTAGCGGGGCGCGTTCGTCATACAAAAATAGCTAATGCGCCTCTAAAAAAGTTTGTCTTAAAAGTACCTTACCTTACAAACTTAAATTCCAGATGCAGCCAACAATATCGTGGCAACCGCGGCCTCAGCCCGGGAGGGGGGAGAGCTGGCCATCATCCTCCAGGGTCCACACAGCAAGAACAGGAGGGAGGAGCTGCTGCATGTCAAGGGGACTGATGACGCTTCCATCTCAATCTATTACATGCGAAAAAGCAATAAAGGTGAGAAGCAAAGACGTTAATGGCGGTGTAGAAAATAGTTCCAGTTTGTTAAATATAGCAGAAATTTACCTATATGTTTAATGTTTGTTAAATGTATCTACTTGTGTCGGTAATCACTTACCTTCAGGTGATCCGTCTGCTCGTTTGCCTCCTGTCACATAAAAAAAAACTTCAGAACATCGAGGCATTAAAGTGATAAAAGTAGGTAGAGTGACCAAATCTGAAATTATGAGAAATAGTGTAAACTAAAATAACTAAGTGATGATCTAACGAGCGTTCCTTTAGAATACTTATTCTGTTAGTTGAAGATATTAATGAATCTTCTCGAACAAAACATTTTCACATTTTATTTCAGTGCCTGAAAGCCGCAGTACTTATAGTCACTGCGGTATATCCAGCCGTACTAAAATTAATGAAAACTGTTGTTCCCAATGAAAAGCGCTATTTCGTCTTATGTGCTCTCTAATACTATCACTGTATCTTGACACTAAAATTTTATCTATCTTCGCCGTTTCAAGTTTAATGTTTATTTCGCAGCCATTTTCTCATAGACGTCAGTTGTTAAAACACGTATAGAGCATCTGTAGTTTTGGGTGTGTGCCAAATGGAGCTTTACACTTCGGTTCAGGCATACCCCCATTAAACTGAAGTCGCAATCAATGATTTACTAGCTGAGGGAGTTCTAAGCGACACGGCGTTTTATGAGTGCGCTTTAACAGCGGCATTGTAAATTACAAATTCAGCTGCTAAGACGGAATATTAGTTAGGCAAAGTTAAAGTTTTAGTACCAAACTGAGTATTCTGGCAATACATTGTTCCATTATGTCTTATTATGTTATCGATCTTGCTGGCTAGAAGACATACATACTATCTATAAGTTACTAACAAAACCGCTGGACTAGTGTGGTGTATCCATCCAATCACAATTCAGTTTACTTGGAGTGGTTAACCCTTTACCTACGGGCCCTTGGAAACCCAAAGTCGCCTCTCAATACGGGGTATTTTAACCTATAAAATTGTTTGCTCCACTTTACATCAAGATATTTTAAAAAGTATGAGACTTACAGTATTGAAATTTGGAATATTATATTCTGCAACTAATGTAGTTTCATAATTACAAGCGCATTTTACACTTTATTTGCAATTTTATTGTTTTTTTTGTCGTAAACCGTGATTTAGTATTGGCTTTGCCAAAATAACAATAGATGCCACCCGTATTGAGAACTGACTTCTGACTTGGCAACTATAGGTGCCTCCCGTAGGTAAGAGGTTAACTAACAGGGTTAGGAAATAAACAAAGCAACCTTTAATATAAACAATACACGTAAACCTTACCTCAGTGTGTAGCTAAATTGGTTTTTATTTACGTAGTAAATTTTCAGACGAACTTTTCTCTTCTATTCGCACTAAAACATAGCACGTTTCTTGAACTTTCTTTACCTATTTAACCCAAATGAAATATCTCCACAGTGACCCTGGAAAGCCTCAACGATGGGCACCTGAAGTCCGTCTCCTGGGGTTTGGGATCCCACGTCAGGTCGACTCTGATGCTGTCAGTATCCTCCAACAGAGTGAAGCTCTTCGTCGGATGTCACCCTCTGCACTCCCACACCATGCCCAGCAGATACGACCTTTTGTCTCTGATGGCCAACACTAAATTGAAAGTGGTAAGTAGAACAAGTTTTATTTCATAGGTTACAAAAATGCCAGCGAAACAACTGCAGTGTTGTTAGAGGATGATGAAAGGTATTACAGTAGCTTGATTTGTCTCAAGCTACCTGTTACACAAGCTAAAAGCATGAAGCTTGCACTGATGTAGTAAGTACCTACTACTCGTAAAGAGAAAACGTTTCATCCCAAATGAGTAGAAACTTGATTTATGTTAATCAAAATAATTAATTAAAAAACTTTACAAATAAGCTCCAACAATGATAAGGCACAGTCGTAACAGCTTTAGATTTAATAAAACTTGAACTTTGTCGTTTCTACGTCGCCCTAAGCCGCAACTGCTCGCTCTGGCGCTAAGAAGTCAGTGTTCTTGAGACAATCAAATAACTTTCCTATTTTTAACTCCAACCACTTTCATTTAAATTTTCTATTGTTGTTTTAGGAATAGAGCTTCGTTATTGAGTTAGGCAGTTCCAAATTGTAGACACGGCTTCATTAGCTAGAATACTAGTTTAGGAGCCTTTGTTTTGGAAATTTACTCTATGAAACAAAAGCTGCCCGAACGTTGAATGTACCTACTTGTAAAGATGTGACTAAATTACACCTTATTGTTTTGATGTAATTCAGTTTACGATCAAAGAAAACAGTCTTGTTTGAGATTTATGCAAGGCTAAGATATTATTAATTTCCAAGGAATCTATACTAAATTGGGGGGATGTTTGCTGTATATCTTTATGTCATACCACTATAAATAGTCAGATTCTAAGTAGTGTCTTAAATGCTCCGACTCAGCGGTCTGATAAAATGGTCTACAGATTTGTATTCTCCATATTGCGATAACTAGATAGCGTTAAAAATGTTAACTGTTAATAACTTAAGGCTTCACCGAATATAACGTTTTCGTAGCTCGCGCTAGAGCGCTACCTGACGTCACGCTATAACGCCGAATTGTGTTGGTAGAATACGCAAACTCTGTCAATTTTATCATACCAATTGTCCACACAGTACCACGAAGAAAACGCCCCAGTTGAAATTTACGGCAACGAGCGTGCTGCTCTCGCTTCCCTTGGATGTCCTCTTGAAGACGTGCTACCTCCCACCAACCTCTCTGAGGATGAGTCGGATGTAGAAGAAGTAAAAGAATTCAGGGAGAGAGATGCAAGGAGGAAGAGAGAAGAAATGCAGGGTGATGACTACAGGACAAATTATATTGATGCAAGTGGGATCCTGCCTACACCGTCGACGCAGAGGGGAGATATCCCGGCGAACGCTATTGAAACTTGTGATGGTAAGTGAAAAGTGAGACGGAACTTTAGTTTTGTAATTTTTTTGTTGCAAATTAGCCCCTATTACAAATTATACAACTGAAAGATTTGTCATACTGGATGCGGTCTGCGGTTAGTGAATGCGGTCCGCTTAGTATGCTTACTTTGACCTCAGACTGCATCCATACACGAAGTCCCAAAAGAATAGATTATACTGTAATTTGTGCATATAGATCTTAAATTAGATTTATCTCTTATATCGATCCACATTATGCAAAATTCTATCACCTTAGAGGTTAGAACTTAGCATAGTTCCGAAGTTTGCTGTACGAGTAAAGTAACTAAGTACTTTGCAGTTGGTACGACGCAACTATGTACAGGCTGAGGTTACACTTTAGTTGTCAGTTGTTCAATGGGTTACTCAGTAGCCCGAACTAGGATAGTGCTTCAATTTTGCTTTGAAACAAGATTTAAACTCTCTACAATGACAAAATTATCTTATTAATCAACAAACTATTCTATTTGATTTATTTATTTATTCGATGAACAAAACGGGACTGTTGAATTTCCTCGGAGTATCCAACTGGGGAAGTTACTAAAGCAAAACAAACGCCCCATTCCCATCCCCAATTCGATTTTCAGATAAATTTTCGATGCAATTCGATGTGCATATCCAGCATATCCCATATTTTAACTTTTTCCATAACTCTTCCTTTCTATTCAGTGTGCTCTATGCCTAAACTACGGCTTCAGGAGAGGTGCACTTTCAAGGTGCATTATTAAATACACTCAAGGCTGAAACTATGAAACGTTAATGAGTACATATCCAAGTTTAAATTAATTTAGAGCGCATCATATCAGCACGAGCAACCTTGTATGGTATGCCAGTCTTCACATCTCGGTAGCTTGAAGTTAACACGAGTTATATTATGTACCTTAGTCTGTTGTTCATCGTTTATTTATGTACCCAGATAAGCCTCGGTCCAATTATAATAAGACAAAATGTGATTAAGAAGGGGTACCGTGTGATTAAGAAGGGGTACCGTTGGCACGAAAGAAGGTGAAGTTTACTCAGTGTGCCTACCATGAGTTTACGTTAGGTGTGCTCGCTAGCGACTGCGTAAAAAAATGACATTTAAATGTATGACATATTGTGCAGCGCTCCTAGCGGCTACTTTCAAGAAATAAAATCTTCATAGAATTTTTTGACGTATTCGCTAGCGAGCTCACCTAACGTAAACTCATGGTAGGCACACAGGGCCTTTAAATAGGCCCATATAGACGGACCGTCTGTTTTCTAGGTCCGTCTAAAGAGACTGTTTATATTTCGTTGGACAACGCCTAAATGTGTACATAAATGACACTGCCTTTGGCATATCCGGCTATTTAGACCAACTGTCTGGGAACAGGCCCTCGTAATTTCCTTAAGCTTTACAACGGTGGCTTCCATAACCAACGCATTAATTCCAGATGAAGTCATCCGCCACCTCCAGCTTTTGACGCAGCGCATTGAAACTCTACACCGCGTGGTGGCGGACCAGAAAGGCACCATCGACGGCCTACGGACTCAACTACAGCAGTGCTGCCACAGACCGCAAGTGGAGCGATGCACCGGCTCGACTTGCTACCAGGGTTATTTGACTCATTATACTCCTCCTCCACCTAACAATTAACACTACAACACATTTCTCTAAAGCCCGGTCTGTAAGCACGTAGAATTTTGTCCAATGACCCCTAGCTACCCATCCTTATCGCTCGCGCGTAATTATATTGCTGTCACGACTGTGCGACTGGCACCCGCAGTGAGTGTGCGGCGGCGAGCGCGATAGCAACATAATTACGCGCGAGCGATAAGGAAAGGATGGGTAGCTTGGGGTCATTGGACAAAATTCTACGTCCTCACCGACCAGACTATAGATACAGAGCATTTAATTTTAATGTACCTACACACCTTTTTTTACACTTCAACGATTAAATTGAGGTCCTTACTTTAGCATGCACTGACTGAACTTATTCTTCAACTGCTGATGATGATTTAGGTAACTAGAATAAAAAATACATGTATAGCATTATATACCTACCAGATTATCTTTTACTTTGAGACTAATATGTGCAATAATTTGTTTTAACCTTTAACCGACGAGGTGCGGTCTCACAGACCGCTCCGGTTTTTGAAATTTCTGGATTGCAATGTTCTACTTACTCCCGTGTCCCGAGCGTCTCAGTACCTTCGAGTTTAGTTGCCCAAACGCCATTACAGGTAGTGGTTACATCGACGAGGGCAGTTTTAATAAGATAATTCGATTTAAAGTTCAACAGCGGTCTGTGGGACCGCACGTCGCAGACTACGTGACATTTTTGTACCATACTGAAACTGGCGTTTTTGTTTTAGACGACTAATGTTTCGTAAAAATGATGGATCCTAGGCCACCACAACCTAGGAAAAGACATTTCCTAATGATATATTGATATTTGAACATAATATTATGTAAAAGATGGTAGTCTGTAAAAAAATACCGCGAAACGGGTGGTAAAGCAAACAGTGACATGTATTCTAAGCTCTGACATGCCAAATCAGCCTGATGTCATTCCACCAGCTGCAAAAAAGACGTACATTTTAGTCCATCTAGATTGAAAACGAAATTATCTTACAGGTGTTAACTATGCATTCCGAAAATGCTTGGCATGCAGTAAAAAAAATGTCCTGATTTTGCCTGATGTTTACCCTACGTCAATTTTTTTTGTGCATGTAATGTACGTGTCATTTATTTTTATTTTATTCATTATGTTCACTATATTTAGGAAGGAGTATAGTTTTTCTTGCTTTGATTAAAATTTACAAGTTATATAGGTATTATTGAGCTCTAGTGTAATTTCAATGTAATTAAGGGTCAAAAAAGTTTTAGCCATATTTAAATAAAAAATATACATTGATTCCTCGCAAATTATACGTATGTTTATTTGTAATACTATAATGTTCTCAAAAAATATAAAACCAATATACTTATATACAAAAAAATATTACTTTTTGAGTAAACAGTATAGCGGTCCCACAGACCGCACGTCGCAGACGGCGTGACAAAAAAATCACGTCGTCGGTTAAAGGTTAATAGACGCTTTTAGTATAACTCTTTAAAATCATCTTTGCACACAGTTTTTGCGTAGGTAGGTTTGTGATTTTCATATCTTTCTTCTTCTATTGTCTTATTTTTTTATTTTAAATATTGTATAAGACTATAATAACCTTTATTAACGTAGTTTTAAGGAGAATCAAGCAACTTTTATACTTGTGGGTTTTTATTAAAATATTCTAAAAGTATTTGGACTTTTATTTCTTCTCCAATTTAACCTCTAAATTGCCTGCAGAGTTCCTAGTCCGCCCACATTTTGTGCGTGAATGTATAAGTTGCTTGATTACCCTTCTTATAAATATTAACAACGTGTAATATTTGTAATGTTTTAAATTTACTGGTGGGCGAGGCACTCTGTGGGCACACGAAATAAATTATTTAAATTAGGGCTTAGCGTTGATTCCGCGGATTATCTGGTAGAGGATCAATTTGAGCCTTAGGTACCTAATAACCAGATAGAGTCAGGGATTTCATAAATCCAATGATTTTTGTGACAAATTTTCATTGTAGTATATTTTAATGGTAAGCGCTATTTGATTAAATAATTGGTAATGTGAAATCATTCCTAACGAAATTTTGTCGAGTCAGCACCACGTTTTTATATAGATCTTTTGTGGTTTACGTCAAAAAACTTAAATACTACTAAGTTCCTAGGTTAATGACAAAATTAGGAATGCTAAATTCGTGAATTAGCAGCAGTCAATGACAGATTATAATGTTTGCATAATTGCACATGATGTCATCATTTTAGCCACTCACTGGGCCGGTTTCAATAACGAATTACTTAGATAATATTTACTTCAATGTAATGTTTTGATGATGATGGCTCTTTAAATACATATAGTGGTTGTTTGTCTCACAACTAGTGATGATCCTAACCGGAAAAATAACCATCCCCACAGTGCCTGCGACACTAACAGTTGATGGCAAGGAAAGTTGACCAACCCTTGTAAAGGGTTATTGTCAAAGATCCTCAGAATACAAAGATTATAAATGCAAAATAAGGCCTGGTTCAGACACGCGCGATAACCGGGTGGTTTCTGGATGGTTCTCATTGACGAGGCAATGTGGCGGTAACCGTGCCGTTAAGGTTTATGCAAATGTACGAAGACTGTCCAGAAACCGCGCGACTATCGCTAAGTCTGAACCAGGCCTAAGAGTACAAAGTTAACGTTGCGACCGGGTATAGGCGTGCAATGCCGCAACACGGCTTCGGGCGCGGAGTGCGGACCGTGCCCGCCCGGCATGGAAGGCGACGGCCGCCGCTGCGTGCCCATCCAGTGCAACAGGAGGCCTTGCTCGAGGGGTAAGATGAAGATCCTAAAATAAAACAGAAGAAGCTCGCTTCCACCTTCGGCCTGATCGTCACTTACCATCAGGTGAGATACAGGCCAAGAGCTTCCTCGTTGTGGATAAAAAAAAGATCTTGGGTACACGGGAGTTGGAGTAGTAAAAACGAGAAGACTAGTCTCGTATACGTCCTCGCCTTTTCAAACTGGCGGGATTTGAAAGCGACTTTCAGCAGCTTCCATGCTGAAGTGTCGATTGCGATTTCTCCCTGTATTCAAGTTTTTTCAAGAAAAAATATAATTTCGTTTGTAGATTTATTCTTGTTAAGCTGTATTAACATACATAACACTAAATCAGCAAATAATAGTTTTATATCAACTACACCCAAAAATAAGTAAGCCCGAAAATCACTCTACTTGAAGTATCTCTTGAAGTTACATTTAACTACATATTTTAGGACAATATTGTACGGACACGGACAAAGGCTACCGATGCGATAGATGTCCGAACGGCCAGACCAGTGACGGGATAACTTGCACCTCTCCATGCAGCGCCAACCCTTGCTTCGGTGGACGTAAGTATAGGCACATATCCCAAAATTATATATTATTTTACAAAAATGCTCTAGGACCTCTTCATCCTCATTTTACACTCTTCTAGGCGTTCCTTGTCACGACTTGCCTAACGGAGAGTTCCGATGTGGATCTTGCCCAGCTGGATATACTGGTAACGGACAGGACTGTTACAAGGTGTCCTGTACCGTAAACACTTGCTTCCAAGGTTTGTTCATTCATTTCTAAAACAGCCCATTGTCCCAAAGTATCTATAGATACTGATCTCTTTTGATATTCTTCCAGGGGTAGAGTGTCGGGAAACTTCAGCAGGCCCCCGCTGTGGTTCCTGCCCTCAAGGCTACTCCGGTGATGGAAGACGATGCCAGCATATCTGCGAAACCCACAGGCCCTGCGGCAATAGGCCTTGCAGACCTATGTCCAACAGCCCTTACTACCAGTGTGAGGGGTGCGAGAAGGGATACGAATATAGAGATGGTAGGTCTTATTTGCCTTTCAACTAAAGCGATGTAGGTAGACGTAGCAGACTTGGAAGATGCTAGCACCTTTAGATAAAATAATCATTAAAGTACATAGATAGATAGTCTTTCGCCAAGTGCTGCCAAAATTGAGTTTGATGCTCTTTTCTTTAGAACATGTAAGTTTTTAATCCAATACTCATATTTCTCAGGCTACGGATGCGTAGACGTAGACGAGTGTGACCTGATCAGACCTTGCGACGACTTGGTCTCCTGTCGCAACGAAGAGGGAGGTTTCCAATGCGGCCCCTGCCCTGCCGGGTTTGAGGGCAGCCAGGGCTGGAGGGGGGCAGGGAATGAAGTCAGGAAGGAGCAATGCGTGGATATAGATGAGTGCGCTGAGGGCAGGGCTATCTGTCCTAGGGGAAGACTTTGCGTTAACACTCCGGTAAGTGAAGATGAAACAAATGCTATATCCTTGGACATTTCCTTGGACATTTTACACTGCGCCGTTAGCCCCAAACTAAGCAAAGCTTGTACTATGGGTACTAGACAACTGATATAAACATACTTAACACTTTTGTAAATAAATACATATTATACACAGAAAAAAACACACAGACCCGTCACAGAAATTAAAATCCATCACTTCAATTTCTGCCCGGCCGGGAAAAGGACCCGGGACCTCTCGGCATAGTAGTGTGTTCTGAGCCACTACACCAAATCTCTAAGACTTTAACAAAGCATTCGATAAAGTAGACCACACCCACTATCTTGTGTAATAAGCTTGAAGAACATGGGAAGCACTGCTGTATTGACTGGAGTCTTACATAAAACACACGAGTCTGTAACTGTCAAGGGTTATTCATCGGAAGCGATTGTAATTAGTCAGGAGTCCCACAGGATCTCATTTCGGTTCGTTTCTTTTTTTAAAGATATATTAGATCTAGGTATGAGTTCTTCTTCTTCAATTTAGGAAGAATTGAACAGGTACCTACTATTCTTTGGAATTAATATAATCGGGATCAAGTGAATATAAAACACCTTTATTTTCTTTTATCTCACGCCTGAATCAGTGTATGATATTCTAACAAACTTTAACGTCTAGCTTGTGGAATGTCAATTAAGTAAAACTCATAAACTTCTCAGATGACAATAAATATTTTTGGCAGGGCTCATACATTTGCGTGCCGTGTGGAGGCAACTTCTTCGTGAACACCACCCGGCCGTGTTTTGACGACTTTGACCGGGGCGAGTCTCTGATCAGGCTGTGCGACCCCAACTACTGCCGGCGGTTCAACGCCGTCTGTGGGTACGGCAACAAATGTGTTTGCGCGGTGAGTACTGAGTAACCCACGTTTTTGGACTCATCATTTTTAGGTATTTGTGAACACTTCGGCTGTCGGCTGTGCTTCGACGACTTCAACCAGGGCTCCGAGTCTCTGATCAGGCTGTGCGACCCCAACTATTGCCGTCGGGTCAACGTCGTCTGTCTGTGGGTAGGTGCGACAACAAAATAATGCGTTTGCGCGGTGAGTAACTTGAATATTCAGGTGTTGCTTGCACCAAAAAGCGTCAAATGTTGCTTGCACCAAAAAGAAGCCACGATAGCCGAACGGTGAAGGGGTCGGACTGGCCGACTCGTGATCCGGGGAACGCGGGTTCGGTCCCCGCCGCCGCTCGACTATTGTGGTGAGCTCACTCGTGACACAAGCATATTTAGCTTAGTACGAGGGGCTAACGGGAGTATTAGTAATTTGTGTAATAACAAATTACTAATAATCTTTATAAAAAAAAAAAAAAAAAAAAAAAAATCGGTTGAATGTTGCCTACATTAAGAATAATTACAGATATTGAACGCACTACAAAGAGGTTTCCTATTCCTTGTGTACTTACTTACATGTAAAGTTATTTAGTCTAGCTAAGAAAAGTGTTGACAATGAAAAGAGAGACACAATGATTGATAGATTGAGCGAGTTAGACCTAAGTTTGTATGAAAACTTGAGGGCTTGATATTTTATTTGCTCGAATGCTAATCAAATATAAATGCTCAAGTGGATTGGAATTTGCATGACAAGCAATTCATCTTGAAATGTCTGAAACTTCTTTGAAATAGACTTTGAAGCATGAATACTTGTAAAGTAGGAATACCAAACTAACTTTCACAATAGAAGTCGCAATTGAATTCTTTTTCTTATAACTTTTCTCATGTGGGACCAAATTCTATTCTCGTAAATTATTTCGCTTTACGAAATGTTACTACGAGTATAATATACAAGCTACATGTTAAAAGGTAAATCAGCTTGTTAAGAAACTAGACAATAGGCATAACCATGTTGAAATACATACGAGTAAGTAAAAACATCTAAGTAGATGTTTTACGTTGATCTGCAACTCTGCACCAATACGCGATAATGTTCAAGCACTTGTTGTTCTGGCATTGAACCTATGACCACTAGCTTTACGATCCGTCCAGTTCGAGAACCATCAGTAGTTCAGCTAATCTGTAGCGCTATTTACGTAGATCCATAAATGGAATGCCACTTTTCGTTAGAGGCATGGAAATGTTCGAATCTTCAGGATAATGTTGTTCGAAGTTCGCAATTCAAATTATCCTATCCTCCAGACGGGCTGGGCGGGTAACGGCACAGTCTGTGGGCGGGACACCGACCTGGACGGCTACCCCGACCACCGCCTGGACTGTTCAGAAGTCCGCTGCAAAGCCGACAACTGTCCCACCGTCTCCAACTCGGGACAAGAGGACGCAGATGGCGACGGCGTAGGAGACTCGTGCGATCCTGACGCGGATGGAGATGGGATTGCTAACCACCCGGTGAGAATATTTTTGACTGTTCTGTTAAGCTTCAAGTGGATTTGTGGGTGCAAGATTTATTCGTTTATCGGTACTTTATTCCCACACCAACCCATTAAAAATGGTTTGAAATCTACGAGTATTTTTCTCTTAGTACAACAGACTGAAAATTTGAGAACTTCAAATTAAATTGTGGCGTTCCAACTTTTGTGATAATTACTAATAATGTTAATGTAGAACCTAGAACCATGAAGAGTCTTTACCCTTTTAAAATTGTTGAGGTTTCCTGATGATTCAGTATTTATCTGTCCCACATTTTCCTTAGTAAATATCTGACAAAAGGCGCCTTTACCTTTCCTAGCAGCTACCATTGCAAATCGTCATTATCTTCTGTCATTACACAATGGTACACAGGACAACTGCCCACTCATCGCCAACCCAGACCAGGCCGATAGGGACGAAGACCAAAGCGACAAACGCGGGGACCTCTGCGATAATTGTCCCAGGAGATACAACCCCGACCAGGAGGATACGGATGGAGACGGGATAGGAGACGTCTGCGATCCCGACATGGATGATGATGGTAAGTGATATTAGTTTAACTTTCAAGAAACCCTAATGCTAATACCCTTGTGAGATAGGTAGGTACTATAACCCTAGTCAAGAGATTGAATCGGATAATAACTGATAGAAAACAATCCTCCAATTTAACGGCCATTCTCAGATGAGCTAGTTTTTACGTGTCCGGGCTGTTAAATCGTTAAAAATGACAAATTAGAGACATGCAAGTATTTTTATATGTTACTTAACAACCCCATACAGTTGTGCATTAAATCATAGGCCATTATTTTAAGTATTTGTGACTTAATTAATTTCATGAACCTCTGTTCTCTAATTACCGTAACGCGTCCGCACACCGACTTAATTTTAAAACTTGGCTGTAATTTTTATGTCGTATAGATTTGGTTTAATCCATTCAACATTTTAAAGAGTACAAAAGATTGTCTTACGCATAGCAAAATATCTATTCAATAGAACCATTCTGTAAATAATTAGAATTAAAAAACTACTTGTCCGAGCGAAAGTCCTAATTCCCGTGACGTTTTCTGTTTTTGGGCACACAAGCCTAAATAATAATATTTGACACATCATTTACGCGCGCGGCGCGAGCCCTTAGTTAGTTCTAAGACCTGTTAGCAAGTAGACGTCTATTGCGTTGGCGTACCGTCGATAAATTGCGTAAGAGTATAATTACCATATCTTTGGTTTTCAATTTTTCTATTTACCATGTCCTTATTTTTATACTCGATTTTTGAAGGTAGATCCATGTCGTAAATTTAAATAGATTCAGTACTTTGGCCTTCATACGTTGTAGTAAGACAGTATTTGCATACGCTGAAGATTTTGGAAATTTTGAAGAAAAACTATCGTTTTATAATTTCCATGTACTAATTACCGTAAATTTATAATCACCGTTGTATGAAATTATTACCTACAAATTGCACTCACGATTGAATAAGTATGATGATAAAATATGAAATATACCTAGACTTTCGCATAACAACTTTACGGTATTTTCTTCCAATCGGACAATTAAAATTTTAAAAAACTTTCGTTAGAGTAACCTCGGAATAGATTCAAATCGAATCTACGAATGTTCAGCTTCAGTTGCTGCATGGTTGTTGGATTTAAGAGTATATTTTAACCCCTAACGTGACCCCACAAAAAGAAGTTACCTGGAGTGAAATCGGGGCTTTCTGATGGCCAGGAGATGTCACCCCTGCATGAAACATGTCTCGTATCAGATATTTATTTTTACTTGTAATTGATATTAACATCTTAAATCATTAATTAATTCTAATATAATACCACTAACATCTATCCATAATACCTTTGCCCTAAGAAGATGAGATTTTCCAACAGTAACACTTACCTGGCGTGATCACATTAAAGAACAAAAGAGAACCAATCAACAGAAAATGGGACTTTTCAAGGCAAGAGTGTATAGGCACTTTGTACCATCCTAAACTGCATCCTACCTGCTTTGTTATGCATAGAAAAAACTTCGTGATATGGGTACTGGACAGAAGAAGCTTGGAGAACAAACTATATACAAATGGATCCTAAAACCCATGTAGACATGGCATCGACTTAGCCTCGCAAATGTAGAAATACTTTAACGTTTTCAAAATAAAGTTTTAAAAATCTTGAGCTGTGCAGCTTGGTTTACAAAGTCCACTGAAGTGATACCAAACGTCAAAGAGGGTGTGGAAAATCCTGTAAAGCTTACAACCAAAGACTAGACCTTCATGTAATCTATTTGCTGCATCCCATCTAAATTCTAAGAATTCTGCATTTAGGCTTAGGAGAAAGCGAATAGCATCATTCTGAAAACTTATTGTAAAAGAATCGAGGTGACAAATCATGGGATATGCTGAGCTGGAACTGTCATTATTACAAATTCAATTTAATCTGACAATGGGTGATGGCTTATCGCAGATAGATTAAAAAGAGGAAATATCACTTAAATCATTAATTAATTTTTCGGTATATGCATATCCGAAAAATGTAATTTGTGAGATCTCCTGATCTGTACGTTAAATCGTTTGTACCACATTGAAATCAAATAAATGATGATTAAGATTCTGATGAAATGTGATACGTAGCCCCTTCTGGCCGAAACTAAGTGTTCCTGTTATAGCCTCGATTATTGCAGTATACTGAAAATATCTTGATACAATAAATAATAGAAATGAGTGTTTTCCTTTTTTCAAAGGGTCATTAAGTATACCTACGGCGTTTTGTATGACGCTATATATATTAATATACAAATTTATCAGTGCAAGATATTGTTTCTTGCTATTTTACACATTTTTTCTAATTACCGTTAGATTAGGTATTAGCCCTATCTAATTACCGTGACCATAAAATTTTTGGGTCTCTTTTACGAGAAAACCGCTTGGAATAATTTGACGCCTTAACGATTGTTAAATTCGTACTTTTCATGTGTTTCATATTTAAATGCGTTTAAGTCAATTAAGCGAAATTTCAAAAATGATATGGTAATTAGGCTGAGAACGCCTAATCGTGAGAATGACCGTTAAGATAAAAAAATTCTGAAGCCTACCCACAAAGAACATTAAAGAGTAGACACTGAAAGATCGCAAATTGCGATTCGCAATCCTTGTAACTCTATTTGGTATGACAAAATGGAAAGCTTTTCTTAACAAAAATTGGTGGGATAATACCTATAATATCATGTGTGTATACTACAGGTTGAACTAGATAGTAATGAAATTATTGCATAATTTCACATCACCCACGCGTCTCTACCTCGAACCGTTTTCAAGAAATCAAGAGTTGCTATTTGCAAGAATTTTTGACCTAACCTGCATGTAGTTATACGAGCCAGTGACTTATTTTAATAATTTTGCCAGGCATTATAAACGAAGAAGACAACTGCCCTCGCGTATACAATCCTCGTCAAGAAGACACGGATCGTGACACCATCGGCGACGCGTGCGACAACTGTCCGCGCGTGCGCAACCCCGCGCAGGACGACGCCGACCGCGACAACGTCGGCGATGCTTGCGACAGCGACGTCGACCGCGACCAGTGAGTATAGCCTCGACAGTCGTAGATAGAGAATCTTCATTAACAGGTTTCACATTTTCTTGCGATGCAACCCGATCGAGCTAACTGCGCACCGGATTCGACTCTCCCTCGCACTCACCCGCACATCTTGGCCAGAATAACTATGTATATTAGCTCGCAGAACTGGGCCATTGGGACAGAAAAAATCTCGAGCTTTAATCATTGACCGAAAAACAGTATTTTCAAGCCTTACAAGTGGATTAACGATCTGGTGAAGGTCACAAGAACCAACTGGACGCAAATGAGCAAATCTGGACTGCTACTTTAGAAATCTATAAGGGAGAAATTTAACTTTTTTCCAGCAGTAGACGTATTTTGATCGAAGCAAAAGTAGCTCCAAGTTCAACTCTTATTTATCCAGGGACGGCAGCAATCTTAACTTTTATACAGCAGTGGACATATTTTGATCGAAACAAAATTAGCTCCAACTTACTTTTCCAGGGACGGTATCCAAGACGGCCTCGACAACTGCCCGTACGATCCGAACAGCGACCAACTGGACGTGGACGGTGACGGCAAGGGCGACGCGTGCGACGACGACGACGACAACGACGGCGTGCCCGACGCTGAGGACAACTGCCCGCTGGTTGCTAATCGCGACCAGAGAGATAGCAACGGTAGGGCATAGTTAGGAGTAGTCTAGGGCCAATAACCGCAGAGCGTAGTAGATGTAGCTAAGGATGTAGTCTAGGCAAGGGCGACGCGTGCGACGGCGACGACGACAACGACGGCATGCCCGATGCTGAGGACAACTGCCCACTCGTGGCTTACTGCGACCAGAGAGATAGCAACGGTAGAGACTCCAATAGGGATTTTTCTAGATGATGTTATCATTTTTGCAGCCGATTCTCCGAGACAAAGATCACTCGTCTTCCTCAAGGATGGCGGCAATCATGACTTAAACGTCAAACCGCGTCAAAAAACCTGATCTTGCGTTTTTTTAGATTGTCGGGTCATCCTACGTTACGTTTGTCGACAAGTGAACCCTTACACCTACTTATACTATGGTTTCTGGGATAAGCTATGCAATCATATTTAATTAAAACTTAAGAACGTGCAAAGTTTTTATCAATAAATATTTGGTCCAGGTGATAGAGTGGGCGACGCCTGCGACAACGATTTCGACGGCGACCAAGTCATCAATGAACTTGACAACTGCCCCAACAACTCAAGGATTCATCGGACGGACTTCAGGTAATCTATTAGATTACCCTCTTGCTTTAACAGAACGCATTAATATTATTCTTCTTTATTTCTTTATCATCATCTCCACAGAATGTGATACCTAATTATGAAGATTGGATTTAGATTTAGATCTAACTATACAGTCTTCTACAGTGAGAGACTATCGCCCGTATTCACAAACATTACTATGAGGTCTCACAGTGCGCGTGGACGCACATGGTGACACATGAACCAATCACAGAGCTCTATTCAACGTTGTGCATTCCATTTGCTGCTTCACTTAAGCAAGCATCGTTTGTGAATACGGGCGCATTTCTCCACTCGTAGGCTGATAGTTATAGAGATCAAGAGCACGTACACAAGATGTTGTTCTCTTTATGATATTTGTTAGTACTAAGGTTGAATGATTAAATAATCACTGTTAAATGTTATTAATTTATCACTTTTACCGCGACTGTCGGTAATTATTCATAATAACCGGTTATTATTCATAATTTTCAATTTATCACATTAACCGTAACATACATATATAATAGAAAGTCGTGTTAGTTACTCCACTTATAACTCAGGAACGGCTGAACCAATTTAGCAGAAAATTGTCAGGGAGGTAGTTTATAGCCAGGAGAAGGACATAGGATACTTTTTATCCCGTTCGAAATAAAAAGAAAGTCTGCTTTTTTATTTCCATTAAGGCGGAACAAAGTTCGCCGGGTCAGCTAGTTATGTCTAAAATAAGAATTTCTATCATTATTCCTTTTCTAGAAAATACATGACAGTCCGTCTGGACCCCGAGGGCGAGTCGCAACAGGACCCCAACTGGGCCATCAACAACGAGGGTGCGGAGATTCTCCAGACACTAAACTCTGACCCTGGACTTGCCGTCGGCTTCGAATACTTTGGTGGGGTCGATTTTGATGGCACCTTCTTCGTTGACAGCAACATTGATGATGACTACGTCGGGTTTATATTTGGGTAAGTATTTTGCTCGCAAAATATGGTTTGGTAGGTATCGGTTTGGTGCTCCGAGAAAATAAGGTGCACTAGCTTACAATCAGACATTCTATAAATACGTAAATCTTGACAGAAAGTAATTTTACTTGTGCAGAACAAGAAGCAAATTATTAGTGTGAAAAAAAAATTGTTATCATCTCCTGCCTCCTAGTCGCCAGAAAAGGTGTGTCATTAATGAAGTTTCAATCAATATTAGGAGCTTAGGATACCCCAATTTTAACTGCACCAACTAAGGAAGCTACTTAGCAAAGCAACTTACCTACTTTTTGAAATTATTATCCACCAGTTACCAAAACAACAAGCGCTTCTACGTGGTGATGTGGAAGAAGAACACTCAAACGTATTGGCAGACGACGCCTTTCCGAGCCGTGGCGGAACCTGGCATCCAGCTCAAGCTGGTCAACTCCAAGACCGGGCCAGGAAAGACGCTTAGGAACGCTCTGTGGAACACCGAGTCTACCCCTGACCAGGTAAGTCGATACTTTATTTCAAACTCTTCCTATGTTCCCGGTATCCAAGTCAACTCCAAGACCGAGCCATGGAAAACGCTTAGGAACGCTCTGTGGAATACTGAGTCTACCCCTGGTCAGGTCAATCGATCCTTAATTTCGATCTCTTATGTTCTTCTGATTACTTTCTTTGTGGGACTTTCCCCTGGGACAAACTTGGCCTTCACTGGTTGGGTTTTTATTTTATGGTCAAGCTGTAGCTAATAGGGGTTGTAGTGATGGGAAAGAGAGGTTGGAAATAGTCCCGTTGACCAGATAGGGATTAAAAGTAGTACTACAAAACTCTTAGGTTTTGTGTCAGAATGTTGAAAAATGATTTCAGATTGTTATTATTATTACGTATTTCACTAACTAGGTTGTAAATAACCTCCCCAAAAATGCTCCCACTTTATAAATTATACGTGAGCGGTGACAAGACTCGGAAGTTAGTTAATTCTCAATAAATACTAAATTAAGTTGAGGCAAAGTTGACTCCCTTGGGTAAGTTAGGTTTTTCAAACAATTTGATCCCTGGAGACATGAAGTTGGAAAATATTTTTTGTTATAATAATGTACTTGTGCTGAATTCCTAAGTGCTTTTAATCACAGTTCTTCAACTAACTCCTAGTAAAAAACGCTGCGGATTTTTTTCTAGTCTAATCTTTTTTTGCCACAGTGAAGAAGCTGTTTGCCAGAATCTCATACAGTAGAAAGTGATGATAAGGCCGAAAGACGAATGAAAAATTTTCGTCCTTGAAATGAAAAGTATAATGGTCTTCTATTTTTGCTAGGTGACTCTCCTATGGAAAGACCCTCGCAACGTAGGCTGGCGTGAAAAGACGGCCTATCGCTGGAGTCTGCTGCACCGCCCGAAGATCGGGCTGATCCGTCTCAAGATATACGAGAACAACCGCCTCGTGGCCGACTCTGGGAACGTGTATGACAATACCCTGAAGGGAGGAAGGCTCGGGGTCTTCTGCTTCTCGCAAGAGATGATCATCTGGTCTAACCTCGTGTATAGGTGTAATGGTGAGTGGAAAAACTGAGAAAATTTTGTTTTCAGATGACTCACGAGTATGATGAAGAGAAATTGCAAAGAAAAATATTGCTATTTTTTCCATTTTTTCACTTTTGCTGTAAGCTACTGAAAACGCCACTCTTATACCGGAGTTTTGAACTAGCACTGTATAAGTTTGTTGTCGACATGAAAAGAAGAAGATAATGTTTTAATAGGGATTCGCGGTTACCATCATAAAAAAAAGTAGTTTTACTCCGATCCTGCTGTAGTGAGGAGTCAGCATTTACAAGAAGATACTTATTACATCGTTTGATTAGTTAATAATTTCTCTTTCCAGATAAAATTCCATCAAACATAGTCTCAGAGCTGTCGCCACGAATCCTGAAGGAGAAGAAACTAGAAGTAGACCACGAGTTTTATTACCAGTAACTTTTAGATAAATTAATACAAAAATACATGGTGTCTCCAGAACTTACCACTCATAATATAAATTCTTTCTTAATCTAGAGAGAATTTTAATGGTCCTGATTTAAAAAAAAGATTAAATGTCGAATTATGCGTTGAGACGACCCATTTCTGAGATTGTGAAAGAAATAAATAAAATAAAGTGCATTTTCCTTTACGAAAATGGAAAGTTTTTGAATAAATGTTATGTAATTAGTGGGTAAGGACACCTAATATTTAAGTACCTAAGTTTAATGATGACGTTCATTTTAATAAAGTGATTTTAATTTTGTATTTGTTTTTATTGTGTGCCTATTGAACTTTATAAATGTAAATAATACAAAAAAAAATCTATCTTGATAAAACATTGTAGTAGCAAAAGCATATTCCGAAGCTTTTCAAAGCGGCTCTTTTTATAAAGGCTGTCAAAGAGTTCCGATGGAGGGATCGGATCTAATTACAACTGTCTACAGCATTTTTGCGCACGGGTTATCCATAGCTTATTTTTATTGCTTTGTAACCTAGAAATAATAATAACAACAAAAAAATGTTCTGAATTTGCTTTTATGTGTAAAAAATAGAAAAATTCATATCAATGATTGTATGAAACATGAACATAGAGATGATTCAATTTGTTGCCAAATATTTTTTTTTCTTTCTTTCTTTCATTCTTTCTATTTATTAAAACATATCAAACATCCATTTAAGATTCATTCTCACAAGAGAAAATTTAAAAAAGAGTCCAAATATTTATTAAAAATGAAAAGTTCTAATTTCCTGTCATGTTCCATAGAAGATTTTTCTCATAAAAATCTAACCCTATCATGCTTTCAGTATACTGGCCTTGGTAACGTCGTTTCTTAAATCCCACTTTATTTTGATGAAAGCGTGCCCCTTGTTCTTGCGAATAAGCCCCCATAATTATCTATAAATATATCCCAATGAGAATGGGACGTGCATCTTTAGAGACATTCTACTATGAAGATGGAAAATTCAAATCGTTATAACTACTTAAAAAGCAAATATTTTCGATTTGTAATCGCAAATATTATTATAGGTAACCTGGTTTAAATAAATTAAATGAAACCATCAATCGAGCTAGTAGGATTTATTTTATTAATAATGAATAATCAAATTCAGAACTTGAATATTCAACTGCAATGTCTGCTCATGAACGCATCAAACTCGGTAGTTGTTTCCCAATTCCATAAAATTCAACACTTAGAAAGTGACAAAATTTTTTAAAATAGGTAGTTGAAACAAACCATAGCTAATTTTCATAGTGGACTGTACTATACGATAAACATGTCAGTCAATTTGACAACCTTTGTCGGAAACATTATTCAATGAAAATATTGTTCGAACCCTTAGTATTTCTCTTCGACAAATACTTTAACACATTGTGAACCACTTTTCTTTCACGACTATAAAAAGATTTTAGCAATTTAATTCACAAAATCAATTGCGCACATTTAAAATAAAGTTTGTTTACACTTTGACAGCAATAGACTGACATATCAATGAAGTTTTCAGTTACTTATATAAATAAATAAATAAATAAATAAATAAATACTGTTGCCATTAAAAGAAATTAGTACCATTAGTTTTCCGCAACATGGCGAGGGTTTTTATGTTCCTGGTCGGGCTATACTTACTATAATACTATAGGCAATGATATTATAGAACTATAGATATGTTACGTTCATAGAAATTACGATTTTAATCCGTGCCGAGCTATTCCAAATTGCACACATTGACAAATGTAACTGATAAGTGATACAAAAGATACGAAATAGCACGCAAATGAAATAGTAGGGAATTTAGTGCAAGAACCCCTCCACTTTGGTATAGAAGGCTCATTTTTGCACCAGTTGTTCTTTGGGTGCTCCTGAGTAGATTTCCGTCGGTAGACATCGGGAGCCCCCCCTGTTGTAGCAGGGGGAGGGGGGGCAAGTTTCCTTCTGCCGCGCTTCACTTTAAGGCCCATATCTTCAAAACTATGGGTATTAGGGCAAGTGTGGTGTCATTTTCGGATAATTAAAGGATGGCGAATTCATTTCTAGAACAAACTTTTTGCCTTTTCATACAAAACTAGAAATGAATTCGCCATCCTTTAATTATCCGAAAATGACACCACACTTGCCCTAATACCCATAGTTTTGAAGATATGGGCCTTAAAGTGAAGCGCGGCAGAAGGAAACTTGCCCCCCCTCCCCCTGCTACCACAGGGGGGGCTCCCGATGTCTACCGACGGAAATCTACTCAGGAGCACCCAAAGAACAACTGGTGCAAAAATGAGCCTTCTATACCAAAGTGGAGGGGTCTCCATACAAATCATTGCACTAAATTCCCTACTAAAAGAGATAGCTATAGTTTTAACGATTCTGCACTAACTAATCTATGTCCGCAGCGCACGCATCCTTATCGCACTAACGTCAAAACAAGATCGCTTTCTCTTTCTTAACTTGAACATGGCGCATGGCGTCTTGATTGTTTGCATAAATAATTGAAAATATAAATACTAAATAATGTTGCATAATCACATGTGGTAAGAGATCCCTTGTATTTTGTTTACTTTAGAGTCATAATTGGTACACTTTCGAAACACACANAAAGAGATAGCTATAGTTTTAACGATTCTGCACTAACTAATCTATGTCCGCAGCGCACGCATCCTTATCGCACTAACGTCAAAACAAGATCGCTTTCTCTTTCTTAACTTGAACATGGCGCATGGCGTCTTGATTGTTTGCATAAATAATTGAAAATATAAATACTAAATAATGTTGCATAATCACATGTGGTAAGAGATCCCTTGTATTTTGTTTACTTTAGAGTCATAATTGGTACACTTTCGAAACACACACGATGGCATTTTTTATTTATTTTGGTAAGAACACAGGATCTTACGGTGTGGTACACGCGATTGCGCACGACGCAGGCCACACGAAGACTAAACACAAGACGTCCCAATTGGGACGTATTTGAGTATTCACAGCGCGAGCGCTTATAACATAATTATCTGCTTTTGTTTTTATATAATATCATTGACTATAGGTAATTTTTGTTTGCACAGTTTGAGAGGGAATTTAGGATCGCAAACACACGTTTTGCGAACACACTTCTTTCACATTTATGGGACTGGCCATAATTTATTAATTAAAAGACGAAATTAAAGTCTATCAGCACAGTCATTTTGACATCACTTCTATAAGTTTACACTTCTGAGTAATTTTGTACAATTATTTTTGAAAAACCTACTTTTACACAGAAACGTACTTAATATGGATGCGATGGACGTCATGAGCTCTGATGAAGAAGTAGAAGACATAAATTCTAATAAAGAAAACGTAGACGACGTTTCTAATAACGTGGTTACTCAGACTGAGAATTCAGTAACCGGTGATTCAGTGAATTCCCCAGTTAACTCGGTATCTTCCCGTCAGTCGACAAACAATAATGTGCATGAAGAAATGCAGGTAAAATTACAAATTGGAAACAAAAGCAATCCGAAGATAGCCAGTGAAGTCGGGATACACAAGACTACTTCGATGTTCAACAGGGGCGATGGAGCGCCAGTTCAAAATGTTCCTGCGGCAGATACTGCCCCAAGCACTAGTAAAGTGGTAGTGAGGCGTAGGGTTAGAGCGGCGCGTGTTCAAGATATTCTGCGACCCATCTTGCCAAGGAAATCAAAAGACCGCGCAAAGTTGATGATTCGAACGCTAGCTAGAGGGATCATCATACCTAGAGGAGTGGTCTTCCAGCGAAGGGTTATTCGCAGACGACGTGCGCCGAGACCCATCATTATACCGAAGCCTGAAGTGAAGAGGATTCGATTTGGTAGAAAGAAAGTGATGGGCAAAAAGTCACTCTTCACTGTGTGGAGAAGATCTCGCCGGGCCAGGTCATCCGACTCCAGAATGTCCGAATATTGTTCCTGCGGTCATTGCGATTGCAACCAGTCATACTATTGATTGTTTCTTATTAATTTACTTTATAATAAATAGTTTTCATATTTTACATCATCACAATTTCTGAATACTTAAACAACAAACTTTTAAAGCAAACGTTATGATCAATCACAACCGATTAGACATGCTAAAGGTATAAAATAACTTCTCGTTCAGTTTCATAAAGTAGGAGTTTATAAAGCCAACCACGTAAATAAGCTATGGTCTAAAAGAGATGTTAAACTTCGTTTACTCAAAAAAGTTTATGAGACTCAAAATTATTACGAAACTCCGAGCTGGCCAATAAAATCCACAATTTATGTCGGAGCCGGCGACTGGCCCTCGTTGTTATTCGCACACAGACGGTCACAAGCACTAAGCTGTGCAAAAATGCAACATGAATTACCATTTTTAGATCCCCGCTAATGAAATTCTGCTCGGTTTATTATTTCCATTACCAACACCCTCTGACAAGTTTGTTCTCTGTATATTATGAAAATAGCTTATTAGTTAAGTAAGCAGCATTTTAACATTAGAGCCAGAATTGTAAACAGTTGGACATACGTGGCCTCACTCAAAATATGGACCTACTACTTTAGTGTTGGTGTCAACTTGATAGAGCCTTGAAACAAATTTAATTTGAAATGAAATGTAATAAAAACAGCTCCAGGTTAAGGAAAATTATAATGATACTCGTACCTAGTCGTATGTATGTAATGAATCAAGTTAAATTTTGTATTTTGTATTCTTTGCTTTAAAACCAGAATAACCAAGTTTCCAAGTTTTAGCAATAAAGAAAAGTTTTAGACCGAGTTTATCTACAAAAACAGCTTGAATTTAATTTTGCTTGTCTAAAATTCAAGGCATACATTGCACAGAAAGTTTATGTTCCCCCAAGATAATTGAGTAGGATTCTGTGTGGCGGTTTGGATTAGGGTATGTTCACATTGTGACCAGCGGACTAGGGACGTATTTTTTGTTCTATTTATTCCTCTCACTTAGGTACAGCATGATGCATGAGGAAAAAAAATACCTTCCTTCTTTTTCTCGTCTTAACATTCTTTACTACTTAGCTAAGTTCCTTAGGTAGACTTTCGATTGATACATAAATTGTCTGTCTGAGAGCGTTCACAATGAGCACCACCTTTATAAGAGTAAATATTAAGATTGTCTCCGTTGAGCCTGGCAAATGAGAATTAGTATTTTTTCAGTTTCAATTAACTGAAAAATCACGACCTAGCCCTATAAAATTATACCAGATATTTATACAGGGTGTTAGGTAAATGGGTATATGACCCGACACTAGCCCATGTTAACATGGGCATATAATATAAGATCCGATTTATATAAAAATTAAAATAATTAAAATGAAGATATCAATTTTCTGACTTCACCATACCATTTATATGCCCATGTTAACGTGGGCTAGTGTCGGCTCATATACCCATTTACCTAACACCCTGTATAATAGAGTATGATCCCTTGTTTAATATGAAATCCATTCCATAAGACGGTCTGGTATGTAAGAAGATTTTATTACGGAAAAGACAATACCTATTTAGTTTTAAAAGGAAAAATAATTCACTAAAAATAAAATAAAAAAACTTACCCCCAAGTATCACCTGAATCTTCTCTTTGAGGCATTGAGTTCCAAATTGTGTTGAGATACTTCATTTCTCGCTTTCTTCACATTCCACACAAAATTTTTCATTATGTCACTTCACAATGCACACAATCTTTTTATTCACGTTATTCACGAAGTTACAGACTCAGTATCTTTTTTATTCACGATATTCACGAAGTTACAGACTAAACGAAGCACAATAAATGACTTTATTTTTCCGGTCTCTAGCTTTTAGAGGGTAGTTTGAAACCGGCTAATAGAGATGGCCACTCCTATTCTGTTAAGTACCGCGCTGGAACGTTTATTCCGTGTGACGGGGAATATTGCTCGGATACGATAATTTTATCAGAATCAATATTACGCCAACAAGGAATAGCACTTTAGCAGTTTTTGGTGTATTGAATTCTGAATAGTTAGTAGTGCAGTAGATAGCTATCTTAGTTTGATTGATGTGACCTAGTGACTGAAATTAATTCTACTATATTATTATTCCTAATCTACTTATCTAGTGCTATCTAAGTTTACAGTGCAGGCCAAGGCAACTAATAAAAATTTGAATTGCCCCCTACATTTTGGACGAGTTTTATGCTAACGTTAGGCGCAATTCGGCGCAAAACGACTTTTTTGAAGTAGGTTGTTGTAGCCCTATTATTGTTCTACCTAGTTAAAAAATACAAACACACTGTATTCTCACTGCCATTATTTATAAAAATTATTAAAATGAAAAAGCTACGCTTCTCCGTTCTTTTAATAACGCAGGAATTTTCCAGTAACGAACGCGACACATAGGTACGAGTAAGTGATACGATTAAAGACCACATAAGAGTGGTTTTCCCGACAAATTGTATTACCTTTTCTTAGCAAAAGCCGTCTATTGTTTGCAAGACATTTTCGGTCATAAATATGCGTTCTTATTAAGTGGGCGTAAGTATAACAATAAAACGCAGAGGGTCTGTGTTTTATTTATGAACTGGGACAAACTTGAGGAGATATGATAAAGGCCTTTTATTGTTCTTTGCTTATTACTTGATCAGGGGAGTGGCAATATTACGAATAGACGGTTCATACGATTCATACACACGAATTTTTTTCTGGGAGATTGTTAGTTTGTGAAATTTTCTTGTACAAAAGTTGTTTTGCTTATCTATTTTTTCTTAATTTTATAAGCAGGACTCAATGTTTAGTCTATGAGATTTTTTACGCTTATCAGGAAAACTAAAACAAAAGCATTAATATCACAAATATATTTATTGTATTATTGTACATATGTTTACATAACACAGACAAAGTAGAACTATCACTCTGGAAAATAGATGAATCAATTAGAATCAAAGGTCCCAATAGGGACAATCCATTTGTTTTAAATATAATTAAAATATTGTGCTTAAAGATTAAGATGATCAAGATTTAAGTAAAATATCAAAGATTGTGCTGAAGTAGCAACTCTAAGCGGCTCGCGCGCCAAACACTTCGTCGATACAAAACAACACTCGATATTTACAGATTTACATCATCCTATAGAATCTATAGTATAATAAATAGATCAATATCACTGTCAATTAATATAATATGATTTGTCAATAATGTCTTCTCAGTCCACGGAGGTTCACCCCTAAGTGCCACTTTATTTAAGTATTTTTACGTATCACTTGATAAGCAAAACTTAGGAGTTTAGCAATTTTTAGACCGAATCAATCTAATGCAATGGTACAGTCAATAATAAATTAGTATTGACTTTAGTCGTTTGGACTCTACAATCCATTGGATGCATTTTATGATAATAGCATCACGTTTTCAACGTTATGTAGTTATAGCACTTACAAAACTCGATTATGATGAATATTAAGATCCTATAGGGTGCACCTTCGTGGAAAGTAGAGATAAAATACAGTTTTATACAACATTTCCAACAATTTGTTAAGAATTTGCTCGTTTTTATAAACATTTCATTGATACTTTCAAAATAACAATGGTTTTGGGTAAATTATGTATTTACTTAGATAACAAACTCCTTAAACTTTAGTTTAGGGACGAGCCCTGAAGTTGACGTATTGTGATAGGATTGTAAAATAGCAGCTTGGTTTCAATTAAAGTATGAATGAGACAAAAAATAGGGATGTGATGGGTTTCTTTTATGAATGGTTCACATTTGCACGACAATGGTACGGTGATGATCCGATTTTGAAAAGCATCACGTGCCTAGTCAATAAAAATGTGTGAACGTAATATAATATTAAGGCCTTTTCAGACAGAAAGCGTGCGCGCGATTACTAAGACAATGCATGGAAGATGCCTAAAAATTGCCATAAAACAACGACATCAGCACGCGATTAACACGTGCTGAGGTTTTTATGAAAACTGGATCGTTTAGTTAATAGAATATAAAGATTCAAGAATCCAATAGAATAAAATAATATAAGAAATACATTCAATGTATTATTCGATTCAAATACATATTCAGTATGGCATGTTACCACGCTATCCAAGACTGAAAATGTAGATTGAAATAAAATGTTACATGACGCTGACATTATAAAAAAACAAAAGTGTGTTACTTTACTTTTTCTTCTCCTTTTGTCAACGTTACAATAGAATTTTCAATTAAATCAGATAGTGTATAACTATTGTAGAAACGGGAGGATCAAGGGAGGGTGATATGAGTACTATCACTTCAGCCTCCCGAGCAGGGCCTTTTATTGCAATGTGGAGAATTTATAGCCAGACATACACATCTGTTCCATTAAACTTTAGTAGTTACTTTGCCAGCGTAGTTCCAAGAATTAGATTTGGGAAAATGATGTGAGAACAAAGTATTTGGGCATGCAGAAGTATGAGAAACTTGGCAATGGCGAAGTAAAATAAATATTTATTTTGTGACTCTTGTAAGTACAGTTTGTTTCGAATATTTCGAAATGTAAGTAACTGCCTAGATAAGTAAATAATTCATTCAAAAAGAAAATTCATATCATAGTCAAAATATTAAGACTAAAAATACATAAGAAGATAAGTAGGTATGTAAGCACTTATTTCACCGCGTCGATATATTTTATGTACGTATCTATTTATTTATCGTATGTAAATAAATGTATTTTACTTTTCATGTTTACAATTTTTATGTATTAATCAAAATTGTACATTTTATGAATTTAAAATGATAATATTGCTTTAAAATCTGTTTTCATTGATGATCTACGATATGACCAAACCCTAAAGATATAAATCTAAAACATAAAATACATTATTGCGTTCTTTCAGTTTTTCTACTAGTTACTATGTTAAAATCGTACTACGAAATAGTGATTCCATGTTATTTATACAAGTATATACAGAGACATTTCATTGTAGCTTCCTTGTACTGATTGCAATTGGTAGACTTGCACGAAGTACCTATTTGGTTGACTTGAACACATTGTGATGACCATTATTATATGTAGAGATAAGGTAGAAAATTACGAGTAACTTTAAGTACTTAAACAATAGCAATCGAAATGGAAACGTCTGATACTATGTTTAACATTACATTAACACTATAACGTCAAATAACTCTCAACTATTGTATTTCAAATCATTACACAAATAGTTATTAAATCCATATTGTAAAAGTATATTTTATCAAAACGAAACAAAGTATAACACCGGTATTAAAGGCTTATTTACAGATATCAATATTACATGTTTATGGACAATTAAATAGACTTAATATGTATTATTAAAATTGGTCGACAATGTAAAATTTAAGCTAATGATAATTAAAAACAATTGCACAAATGTCTCCTAAAAATTATATCCTATTATATGATTTGATATGTCTACAGCGAATCTATGGGTCAATAAGTGATTTGACTTACGACGATGCTTTGTTTTTTATTATTATAAGCAATTTAAGCAAAAAAATCTCACTCGATCGGCAGGCTCAATTCATTATTTCATATTGCAAACTGAAATAACTGTTTAATACGTCTGTCTCTGACGAAAGTTACAATCTATTATAAACTAGGTTATTATTAACTTCAGTTCAATTTATTAACCACTGAATAACTCTCTGACAACAGTATTTACATGTGAGCACTAATACTTGTATTGTCGTTTGTCTTCCCCGGCTCCCACGAGCCACACTGTACACGACTATCCTATAACATCGTCCAGAAATCAGATCGTATATTATTTAGCTTATTATTATGTCAAACAAGTGACTCGCTTTGGACCGAGTAAACAAGTTCTATGAGAAGCGACACGGAGCTTATTTACAGCGAAACATTAGACTAATGAGGAAGACGTAGGAAAATAAGAAAGTAACTGCCGTCGCACACGCACTTACTAGTGGTCTCAATTTCCGAATATTACGTACATTAATTTCGCTTTGACTCCTGTGTTCATGATTAGTCTAATTTTGTACGAGGGCACTAATTCGCATTTCGTTTTTAGTTGCGATTTCATGCTTATTTTTAAAGATATTTAAAGAAAGAAGTTCTAACGTGAGATTGAGATGAATAGATATAGAAAAACAAAATGGGATTTATAAGTCTTCCTCGATTACAGTTGGTGACCTAAGACGATATGGTTAGTTTTAGAATAGCGTTCGATTCAGTCTAACTAGATCACTGAGGATGACAGTAGAGTAACAAGATACATTAGAAAGGTGTAACAAAGAAAAGGGTTCCAAAACGGCCTTCTCAACGCAAACGGGAAAAGTTTTCGTCTCAAAATGGTCTAACATTAACATTTTTGGTGTTTCGTTTATTATGATTACTTTAACTTTAGCGGTGTTCGCCTGCGGAACATTTGGTTTTATCATCGACTTAACAAGGGTTCTTCTTTGGAATAAGACGTAGTTCTTCTGGATGCTTAATTACCTGGAGAAAAAGATAGATTTATCAAAATCAAGACAATAAAGGGCAATACTGTTCGGTTATCATAAACGTTTGTTTGAATAATCCTTTTCATGTTGAAGCGGTTTAACTCTTTTAACGGTTTAGAAGCTAGCAACTATAACTTTATCGAGTTTTGGGTAGAGCTCACCTGACCATAATATGGTAGCCTGGGCTGGCCGGTGGCTTCTACAAGGATCCAGCTAAAGAGCAACTGCTGCGGGAGGGACCACAACTAGCACAGAGTCTCGATCTGGCCGGGCGTGGTCAGCTGCTCGGAGGCTGCGAGACTCCTGGTGCAGGGTAAATGGCTACGAGTGTCCTGATGGTGGGCAAAGGCGGTTGCTTTGCTAGGGGCTCACTTAACCCATGGTCTCAGACCGGTTGGAGGTCGGCAGCTGCTGCGGCGGTCACGAAGGAAATAGTGGAGCGAGATATGGGTCTCAGTCTGGCTGTCCTTTGGCTGGCTTGGCTGCGCTGATGGCGACTGCAAGACTTCTGGTGGAGTGTTAACTGCAGTCTCACCTAGCACATGGTCTCGGGGCGGCCGGGCGTGGGCGGCTGCTCAGAGCACTGGTGGCAACTGCACGACTTCTGGTGGAGTGCTAACTGCAGTCTCACCTAGCACATGGTCTCGGGGCTGCTCGGCGGAGCGCTGGCGCGGCAGCTGCGACGAGTCTAGCACGATGGAGGCTGCGGGGGCTCACCTAGCACATGGTCTCTAACCAGCCGGGGTGGGTGGCTGCTGCGAGAGGACAGCTGTAGAGTCGTCAGCAGTTGCAGGAGGAAGGTCACCTAGCACATGGTCTCGGGCCTCTTCTTAGTCAGAGTGGTCGTGGTTACGCTGACGAGGTACATGGTGGGGTGATGTTATCTCCGAGGGTAGCTCTCCTGGCGATGTGCTTCCATTTCTGACGGTTAGAGGCGTCGTGAGTACATTGGACCATGGTGGACTTAGTGGCCTTCGTGATGCCGTCTATCCAGCGGGTTGGCGATCGACCGCGTGCTCTCCTGCCTTCCACCTGGCCCTGAACTGCCAGTCTCTCCATCGAGTTCTCATTTCTAGAGACGTGACCGAAGAATTTCAGTATTCGTAGTTGCACAGTCTCACAGGTCTCGGGCCAGCTGTCCGTAAACGGTTGCTCAGAACGCTGCTGGCGACTGTAACACTCCTGTTAAAACTCAAAACTTATCGGCTGTGGGAGAAGCTCACCTAGCACATGGTCTCGGGCCAGCTGTCCGTAAACGGTTGCTCAGAACGTTGCTGGCGGCTGTAACACTCCTGTTAAAACTCAAAACTTATCGTCTGATGGAGGGTCTCACCTAGCACATGGTCTCGGGGCGGCCGGGCGTGAGCGGCTGCTCGAAGCGCTGGAGGCGGCTGTGAAACTCCTGGTGGAGGATTAGCGGCTGCAATCTCACCTAGCACATAGTCTCGGGCCGGCCAGATGAAGAAGCTGCTCGCAGTCTTGATGGTGGGCTGACGGTGGCTGTGAGAGGAACTCACCTAGCACATGTTCTCGGACTGGCAGTCCTTAGGCGGCTGCTCAAAGCACTGGTGGCAACTGCATAACTTCTGGTGGAGTGTTAACTGCAGTCTCACCTAGCACATGGTCTCGGGGCGGCCGGGCGTGGGCGGCTGCGGCGGCTGCTCGGCGGAGCGCTGGCGCGGCAGCTGCGACGAGTCCAGCACGATGGAGGGCCGCGGCGGGAGGTTCTCGCTCACCATGTGCGAGAGGGATAGGTCGCTGGACGCGTTCGTTTCACCTGCAAGGAGTTTGGTTGGTTAAGAGTTTGTTAAGCGCGTTGGACACGACGAAGGTCATAATAACATATTTCGATGACGAAGATACATTTGCTTTACATTGAAAATTGGTATTTCACTGACACAAAATCAACTTTCGTCTGAAGATGATTCTGACTACATTATGAAAAATAGAAAGTACGAAATAATTGAAGTTGAAAATTACTAACTGAAAAAAAGACACCCCTGAATCCAATTCTAACCAGTGAAGTAAATCAAATCAAATCAAATCAAATCAAAATTATCTTTATTTGTTTAGACTAATTAAATTAGTACTTGCAAATCGTCAAATGCTCTTAAGGAGCCTATACATGTCTCATTCTTTTTTTGCCCTACCAAGTTATTCAAGAATCTCATAGTTTATTGTTTAACTCACCGGAAGGCTGCCTCGGGACCGGCAGAAGCACGTCTCCGCACGAGTCGTCTCCGAGCAAAGGTTGCAGCGGCGACGGCAGCTCGCGGCTGTCGATCGCTGACGACCTCCGCAGCGAGTGTCTGGTGGAATATTCAACGGTGAAGCATACATATAAATGGTAGACAAAATCCTATAGATACCCAACACTATTCGATCCTAGTCGATACAAGTTTACCCAACCCTACCTATCTTGGTATTGGTAAACCTGCTGCAATAACTTCCATGTAGCCAGGATCGATAAGCAAAACTTGTAACTATGATTGGAGTTCGGAATTTTGGCGCAAAAGTTGCTGACAGTTAGCAACGTTTGGAAATTTGCATTGCACCGCTAAGTTTCTTCCTGAACGGTGGCAAATCCTAGCAATCTATTTATTTTTGAAACCTAGAGAACTGATTGGAAACTGGTAGGTAACAGATGGGTTTACGGTACCACCCCCTCACTTCACAAACATTGCAGTAAGTTCTAAACAACTTGACTGACCTCTGGTGCGGCAGGCGGCGGTCGCACACTCACTGCGGGTACCAGTCGCACAGCCGCGACAGCTATATAATTACGCGCGAGCGATAAAGATGGGTAGCTAGGGGTCTTTGGACAAAATTCTACGTGCTCACGGACCGGGCTTTACACACACATTGCAGTAAGTTCTGAACAAGTTGACTGACCTCTGGTGCGGCAGGCGGCGGTCGCTGACGGTCAGCAGCGTGGTGGTCTGCGGCAGCAGGTGCGGCTCCTCGCTGTTGACGCACACGCTGATGCTGATGCCCCCGCCCTCCCCCTACCCTCCCCCCACTATAGTCTGGTCCGTGAGCACGTAGAATTTTGTCCAATGACCCCTAGCTACCCATCCTTATCGCTCGCGCGTAATTATGTTGCTATAGCGCTCGCACACTCACTGCTGGTGCCAGCCGCACAGCCGCGACAGCAATATAATTACGCGCGAGCGATAAGAATGGGTAGCTAGGGGTCATTGGACAAAATTCTACGTGCTCACGGACTGGGCTTTACACATACATTGCAGTAAGTTGTCAACTTGACTGACCTCTGGTGCGGCAGGCGGCGGTCGCTGACGGTCAGCAGCGTGGTGGTCTGCGGCGGCAGGTGCGGCTCCTCGCTGTTGACGCACACGCTGATGCTGATACCCCGCCCTCCCTCTACCCTCCCCCCACTATAGTCTGATCCGTGAGCACGTAGAATTTTGTCCAATGACCCCTAGCTACCCATCCTTATCGCTCGCGCGTAATTATATTGCTGTCGCGGCTGTGCGACTGGCACCCGCAGTGAGTGTGCGAGCGCTATAGCAACATAATTACGCGCGAGCGATAAGGATGGGTAGCTAGGGGTCATTGGACAAAATTCTACGTGCTCACGGACCGGGCTTTACACATACATTGCAGTAAGTTGTCAACTTGACTGACCTCTGGTGCGGCAGGCGGCGGTCGCTGACGGTCAGCAGCGTGGTGGTCTGCGGCGGCAGGTGCGGCTCCTCGCTGTTGACGCACACGCTGATGCTGATGCCCCCGCCCTCCCCCTCGGCCTCCCCGCACTCCTCCTCGTATCTGCTCAACACACACGCCATGTCTACGCTACTGACGGCGCAGCTTAGTCTCGGCTCTTAGGGGGACGGCCACAAGAAGCGAGGCGACATATACAGTAGCTATTTTGTACATATAATGTGGTATGTGACAATTTTAAGATGTTAAAGAAGATTGGTTGTTTTGTAGCATGTCACAGTAAACTTAGTTATTTTAAAGAAAATTTCTAACATGTAATGTGCTCTACCATCAATCCTAATATCACACAACTTCAAAATAATCTTTAGCTTGTGTAAGCTCAACGAGAGTTAGTCAATAAATTTACAACCCAGCAGTTTTTAATTTTCATTTAAACTAGGTACTTTCGTAGCAAACTATTTTAAAATAGGATCAAAGTTCATCTTCATTAATATCGTATAGCGGAAGGGAATATGAAAGTTAAAGAAGAAAATTGTTTCTGAAAAATAAATCTCAACGTCGTCATATTAAATTTTTCATTACGACTTTCATAAAATAGGAATTGTAATGCTTTAACAACTTATCTATTTCACGAATCCTATACGTTTTTCAGCAATGGTTATTCCATTTATAGTAAATATAAATAAATATCCTTGGACATTTTACACTGCGCTTCTAGTCCCAAACTAAGCAAAGCTTGTACTATGGGTACTAGACAACGGATATAGTATAGAACAGTTTAACCATGAAGCGAATAAGTATACATAAGTGGCAATGGTTTTTCTGAAAGTATCTTCTCCAGCTGAGCTAGGAAGCGCGCAGTGATAAAATTTTATCGTTTAGACGACAAATGTATGGGCTTATCGTGCAAAATCGATAAAATGCCTCGATAAAAGTTTATCGTGACACGCATCCTAAGCCTACTGGAGAAAGAATGTGAAGCAAATATCAGACCATCGGTCTAGCAACCACACAGACCCCGCCACCTCGTAAGAGTAAGATCCTCACCGCCTCTGGATGAGGTTTTGCATGATGATGTAGTCGTCCTCCTCGGCGCCTCTAAGATGCTCCTTCTCCATGAAGAGTGCGAACTCCGGGTTCGACATCTCGCTGGCGTGACGTCGACGGACTGAGGGTGACGTGGCGCGAGCGGGGGACAGCAGGCGAGACGTGATGGGAGTCCTGAGAACAATATTTACGTTAGTTAACTATAACCAGGCAGTGAAAGTCAACTTTATGCTTTGGAGATACGGTTGGAATCAATGAAGATACCTATGTATTCAGCGCGGATCGCTCCGCACAGCCGATCTGTATGAACTGCTAGGGAGAGGAGCGGTTCATACAGATTATCCATGCGGAGCGGGGCCGCACACTATAACCAGCCTTAGTCTTCTTTTACAGACGTTTGACATCACTTAATCAGACCGACGGTTTTCGACGTTCTTCCGAGGTATTGCCACTGACAGCCTTCATAGTAGTCTGTCTGGCAATGCTGTTTTATACCAAAAGTTTACTAGATTGCCTCTCTATGTGCTTACGTAATAATATTTTATCTTTTGTATAATCAGCTTAATCTATTGGGATGAAATAAACATAATTACATTACGTGTGTGTGATCCATATGGAAATCGAGCCCAGTGACCATAGACAAGAAAATTCAACTCTATAACCACTAGACCACTAGAGTTGACTAGACCACGGAGCCGTTATTAACTCTTCAATAGAAAGCGACGCTTGTTATTAAAATTGATTCAGTAAACCCTCATAAAACCAATTGTTTATTCACTATTAAGTTGCAATGACAGCTTAATATGACAATCAAAACTAATATTCCCCCATTTCTCCCAATCTACGCGGGATTGATCCATAATTCGAGCTAATTTGTATGGGATTTAATACCCGTTCTCGATTGCTGAATCACATTGGCCCGTTAAATTGCGAACTTTAAGGCCCGCACCCACAAACGGGACGAGCGACAAAGTAAGAGTGGTGGAGTAATTCAGCTTTAATATTTGAATATTAAAATTTTAGGTATATACGCGCGCGTTCACACTCGTAGTTTGACATACCGTCGTCTGTAGGTACATACTAAATACATTTAAAGGTAAAAGGCTTTGGTCTTAAAGGTAGCATTTCGAAGCAAGTTAGTGACGCTGCGTTGGTGGCACAAGACCAAAGATAAACACGCTGCGTCTGTGACGCTTAGTTAGAAAGGTAGCCTTTCTAAGACATAAATCGGTCGTAGTTTCAAAATAGACAGTCCTCCCTCTTTCTGTCAATGTACACGTAGGTATTTTGTGACTGTAAGTAGGAGCATTTACAAAACCTACATCTGGTAAAAGATAATAGCTAGTTACTTACTTATTCTGTGATAATACTTACTTATTGGAAAATCCAGAGACACCTATCTTCGGATTATGATGTCTATAGGATAGGATATCTGCTTAGTTAATATAATTCACTATGCAGGGAAGAGGTAAAAACGTGTTTTATATCACTGACTTTATTACTTAGGAACTAATATGGTTAGGTATTACCTTACTGATATTCATTGATTACTTTTATTGTACCTAATAATTTCAGCTTGCCCAGCGGGTAGCTAGCTGGACTAGTAGATTGAATCAGCCAATATGAGTTAATGTGGAAGACCCGTACCTACACAATGTAATTGCAGTAGGTCCGGTCCATGTATGTCGTCTGGTATTTAATTTTGTGGGTTCGAATCGGTTAGTCTGGAAGAAAACTTTTGTGTACCTACGGTCTATAGAATAAGTAAGAACATTAATAGGTACATGCATTATACCTAGCAATAAGAAATATGCGTAGGTATCTAAGCTTACTTGAATAAATATCAAAAATTCCCTTCATACTTACAGCGTTACAGCTTTACAAAGTAGTGGCAAGATAATATGCTACCTCAAAAACAGATACAAGAAAGTGCGTATTTTCATTTGAAACAATACAGCCATTAGCAAGTTTAAAAACACGTAGCTTAAAAATAGATGTGCATGTGGATTGAGTGATCCTTGCTTCAATCTTAACAAAAATCGAGGAAGTTTTACTTAAAATATGTTAAAACATTGCGATGAAGTTAAAAAATTTGTTAAACCTAAGATAAAAATGTTATGGCCAATAAATAGGAGCACTCATACCGCACGCTTTAAGAAAACGTCAACATGTTTATTTCAGAAAATAAAGCCTTTCCACTTCTTTTTATAATATAGAAAAATTGTTAAGAATATGTTATAACTATTAACAAATTCAGAAATTCCTTGCACGTCCCGTTCCAAAGTTATGACGATTATTTAGGATCACTCACACCCATTTTCTCTGTTACCCGGCCTTAACCGGTTCTGTTAACTGTCTTTGATTGCAACAATTAAAAACTAAATTCGTACATTTTTTAGAATTTGCGTCATTTCAACGAAAACCAGTGCTTGAGCTGGAATGATCCAATCCTAGTAATATTATTATTTATTTGGAAAATTTTAAGGGACGTCACATAGAAGTGCCAGCGTAAGGAGTGTAGACCAAATTCTTTATTTAGTGAATTAGACTCGCAGCGGTTCCCGAAAGGTGGTCCGCGGAACCCTGGGGTTATTCCACGTTTCGTGACCGACGTTGTTCGCGCGCACCGACTTGTTTACGCACAAGGGAGGGGCAGGGCGTGCGGGCGGAGTAGTACGGGGGTTCCGCTAGGAAAAGTATAATCAATTAGGGTTCCTTGCCAAAAAATTTGGGAAACCCTGAATTAGAGGGTCGTGCTCCTGCAGTGAAGACTAAATGACCTGATGATGATGATTGATGATACATCTATACTATCTAATCACTGTATTTTTAATTTAAAGTAAGTACCTACTCGCTGGCGATTCGTGCCTACGAGTATGACGCCCGTATTCACAAACGATGCTTGCGTAAGTGAAGCAGAAAATCAAACGCACAGCGTTGAATAGAGCTCTGTGATTGGTTCATGTGTCACCCTATGCGTCCACGAGTACTGTGAGACCTCATAGTAATGTTTGTGAATACGGGCGTAATAATTTAATGCGCCACAAAAAATAAGCCAACATCGGATTAGGAAGCTATCAAAATATTTTGATTTCACCACAATCAAATCAAAAACCTAATCATCTCAAATGTTAATCTGATAGTGCTGTTAAATGTACAGTTAAACAACAACTTGCAAACCGATTTCCCAGTAAATATGACAGTCATTTTAACACAAGTTGACAGCTCAGCCCTACAAGAAGAGAAAACATCGAAAGTAGACTTTCAAAACGAAATTCGATTGAATTTACAAGACATAAAGTCTAGACGGGGCGATAAATTCTGGCTGCACTAGTTAAGGGCATAGACAATTTCTATTAATAGTGCAAATGCCTCAAAATGGAATGTACAGTAAATTGACTGTGGCTCAGCAAACTCTGTTAAAACTTTTTATGTAAATTCTTTCTATTTAGTTCTACTAAGGCCATCATTTTGTTTAAAGCTAATTTATAAAGAATCTAGTCTAGGCTTAGATTAATTTTAATAAAGATCTAGATATTTAATATTTATGTTACCGCACTGGCCGTATTTCTGCCTTTAACTTTGCCATTTATTTTTAAATCGAAATTCAAACATTCAAACGTTCGAAAAAAGCAACATTTTTTGTCTCAAAACCTTCGGAATTTTTCATTGAATATTCTCCAACTAAAGGATCCCGCCAAAAATTGACGTTTCATCTCACAGACAACAAATCGCACAGATAAGTAAAAACAGTAAACATATAGGTAATCGATCAACTAAACAATGTGTGGCACGCGGCTCTCGACCGGTCGCTAACGGGACAGCGGCTGTACTTTAAGTACGAAACGGGTAACGATTTGACGCGGTAAAATTTGGACACGCTCAGTGAAATAGCAAATAGGTCTAAAAAATTAAAGCTTTCCATCTTTACCTAATGTTACGACATAACATTTTGTTGTTGTCCAATTTGTGTAAAAAAAAATCTTCTGAAAAAAAAGACGACCCTCAAGTATGAATATCCAAGTCTGTTGAAGACAAAATATTGAAATTCCACCAATTTTAGCTTCAATTTGCCTTTTTGTAAAAAAGAAACCCTAAAAGTGGGTCAAAATCAACAGCAATATTAGGAATGGCGATCTAAGATCGATTACTTATTCGTAGAATCGATGTTCCGGTTCAATAATATCAATTCTTAATTGATTAATCATCGGATTTTGTAATAGTAGAATTATATTCGAAATGAATGAAATTAAAGCTTTTATGGCCGTAATTTTAAAACTACAAAGTTTCATCAATGTTAACTGATGCTGAGAGATTTTTAATTGATGGTAAACGAAATGGAAATTCATTTCATATAAATCATGTTTCCATTCAATTTGCGCCTCATTCACTTAAGCTACTTTTAATTACGAATGTTGTAAGTGTTTTTCGTAATACATTCACTTTTGTAAGTCAGTGTTCCACAAATCGTACTATTACTTTTAGAATCACGAAACATAAAACAAATCATTATTTATTTTGACTGATCATCAAAACTTTAATTTCGATATTTTACATTGAGTTATTATATCTTTTGCTAAAGATAATGTTTTGTCAAACCACCAAGAATTTACATCAATTACTTTAGAATTTTTCATGTTTGACGCATTTGAAACATTTTATTTTATCATCACCAGGACTCAAGTCTCCACTGCAGGAGCACGTATCATCATTATCATCACCATCATCATCAAGTCTCCACGAGCACGTCCATCTCTTATTTACCAAGGAAGTGGTTGGTTTGGTCTACCCTCCCCACGCTATTTAGCTTCAATACCTAGTTAATGTAACTTAACCACATGTTTAACTTTCCCCAACACTTCTCAAAGGTGTCGTCTCAATAATTACTAACCTTCAACTCTTCCGAGGGTATTATTTACTAGGAAACGCTCGTCGGCAACTGACAGAGCACTGAGACGTACATTTTTCATTTCCGCGTCCATTCCACCCAGTTGCATGTACACCTTTCACCTTTACCACTGTTTAGATGAACAGACGACCGCGCAGTACTGTGGCATCTAAAGAATTTGTAATAGGGTCGATATTGCAACAAAATGTTGTACAGTCTACAGCACGTCAAGCTAAAAACTCAAGGGTTCTTATGTAGTGGCAATAAAGGCGATTTAGCAGCGAAAATGTATAGTCTGGTATTGTACAGATTCCAGCTCGGACCGTATAGCTTGAGGCTAGGAAAGTCAAAAGTAAACACTCATCTGTCTGGAGTCTCTAGATACCATCTATAGCAGTAATCGGTACAATTTCGAATCGATGCGAATAATCGGTCTCAGACCGGTCACCAGTCAATTGATATACTTTTATAAACTGTCAAAACTCCTTTAATCTTCTGATTAATTTCGTTGCGGGTCCAATGACAGTTTAACTTTCCCCCGGACAAACTTGAGCTTCACTGGTTGTTTTTATTGGCGGTCAAGCTGTAGATCCTGGCTGCACAGGAGTTCCAGCGGTGGGAACAGAGGTGGGAATAGTCCCGGACTGTCAAAACGCCACTTCTCCATTGTAATTGCAAGAAAAGGTCCACGTTTCACGCCACTACTGGAAGGTTCTGTTTTTAGTCTGACTGGTCCTAAATGAAACAGATATCGAACATACGAAATTGAGCCAACTATTCGCTATATCTGATCCTTTATTGGAACAAATCAGAAGAAAAAGAACAAGGGTCTGACGGTTGTGATTGGGTGACCTCATCGTCTGGCAGTGCATTAAGAATCGGGTTGGATTTCATGTCCAACCTTTTTGTGGATCAAAAAATATAATAATGAACAGTTGACGTCACTAACAAATCAATGTCGCTGGAGGTAAGGTCAGAGGACTTGGCAAGTCAAAGCAGATGGGTCATCATGAGACATCATCATCAAGAGAAGAGACTCTGTGAAGGCTCCATAGACAGAATAGGTCATCATCGGGCTCGTGATGAAAAGAATTGACGGATCAGCGATGGTCAAGAAAAGAGACCATGTGAATGCCCCATGGACAGTTCTGGCAGATGATGCTAGAATCCATTGTATGTATAATGCAAGCTAAGAAGGGCTATGGGACATTGTCCTATAGGTAGTACTGACTTTAAGAATAGATCGTTTCTAATAAGAGAAATAAATGATGATGTCGTTATCTTGTAGGCACTTCTTGTCATAAATTAGGCTAACAAAGGTGACAGTTTCTTCCGCCACTTCCCGACATCAGCCGATATGTTATCCCGAAGAGGTGATAGGACAAGCTACATTTAGGTCGTGTACGACGATATGGAAGCTCTAACAAAAAGGTTGAATTAAAATTATGGCCAGACTTTTTGTTCAAATCGATACATTTGGACATCACTATCGAATCTATAAACTGTTGAATGTTGATACCGTTTAGACCACAACGTTACATTCACTAACTGTCAGTTAATAGTATCAAATTGAGCACACTGTTTGATTGGAGAATGCAGAAGATTGTTATGTTTTTGTCCACTCTGTTGTGGGTTCTTCCAAATTGTCGACAGGTTGTAAATAATTGTCTGTTTATACACTCATTACTGTCGTAAAAATAGTTGATGACTTTATCAAGCTCATCGCTTTCTTTCTTTCATTAAAGAGTTACCTATTTTTTTCCTAACTTTTACAGTGACTTTGTCGATAACTGGTGTTTTTGTGTGGAATTTAACATATTTTTGACGTTTGTTAAAGTCAAAGTAAGATGTGCAACCCAGCCTAATACATTGAGTTATAATGTACGAGGGCTGCACTAAAAGTATCGGGAATGGAATATTTCCACTGTTCCAGTCATATTAAAATCTATTTAATTGCAAACTCCAGGGTTTTAAAAATCGTATACCATTTATTTATTTAAAAAAAGATTCTCGGTCTAATCACAAGGTCTTGTCAAACTTGTTTAGTCGTTGAGAAAATGGAATTGACTCGAGAAAATTCAAGAGCNCCACATGCACATTAAAAATAGGACATGCCTTCTGAACACTCCCATTTTATGTTCGACCTGTACGTACAGTTGACAGCACATCAGCTACATATTTTTGTAGCAAAATAGCATCTATTCCTGCTACATAAGATATCACAGTGCCGTTGACTGTACCCAGGGAATGATTACGGAGGTAATTGTCTCCGGGCCATTGTAAACATCTATAATGTATGTTTATTGTACATCTGTTGACAGTAATTGGGTATTGAAGTGGCATTGTATTGGAGTATTGGGTTATTCCAGGAAAAGTCATTAACTAGGGGTGCATCGCTACACGCTTGTATCGATAATAATCATAGAGAATCGACTAATACATATAAAAGGCAATGTTTTGAAAGTTTGGTTACTTTAAGTATAATCGACGTCCCGCAGTAGGCTGCTTCGATAGCCTAATGATATAAGGAAATGGAGGATTTGGTCTACACTCCCCACGCGCTGGTCAAATGGTCTGATTTTGGCACATTGGGCCCTTATTCTTATTTACAGCATTGAGTTCTTTGCAGAAGAGTGGGAGTGGTCCTATTCTATTCTGCCAGAATCACCCGGATCTTTAAAACGAATCCTGATGTTCGCGTTTGTTCCGAGGTCCCTTTTTACTACGTCCACGGGAAGAATGGTAGTGGCCCTATTCTGCTCTGCAAGAACAGTTTGTCTGGTAGAATACAACATCAGTCTTTGCAAGGATTACACTTTGCACTCATCTAGGCATGTCTGGTAGCGAAAACAGCCCATGCACAGTCTCCACTTCATCCGTGATGCTGGTATAGTCGTGCATTGCTAGCAGCAGCGAGCGCAGTGTATTGCCGACTCATGTGCCGCCATCCGGAATTCCCGCTGCTGTCATCTACCAACCTGACTAAAAGGTATCTATGTGGAACTTACCTAGGTGTGTGTGGCGGCGAGAACAGTCCATACACAGTCTCCAGTTTATCCGTGATGCTGGTATACTCGTGCATTGCCAGCAGCAGCGAGCGCGGTGTGTTGCCAACGAGATCCCTGCCGCTGTCATCTACCAGCTTGGCTGAAAGGTACCTATGTGGAACTTACCTAGGCGTGTGCGGCGGCGAGAACAGTCCATACACAGTCTCCAGTTCATCCGTGATGCTGGTATACTCGTGCATTGCAAGCAGCAGCGAGCGCGGCGTGTTGCCGACGCGAGTGCGGCCCGCCGGAATTCCCGCCGCACCGCCCGTCGCTTCCCAGCCTGATTGCCGCCCTGGAAAACGGGCAGGCGTTGTAGGAACGGCAGGAAATATGCAAGAAAAAAAAAACCAAAAATATTTGAAATCTCGTGACGTCATTTGACAGTCCAAAACGACACGCTGTTATGTGACGTCAACTGAGCAAGTTTATTTCAAACAAAGTTGAACGCTTGAGCGTGCTTGAGTCTATGTTTCTCATTTCCCGCTCATTTCAATACTTGTTTCACAGATCACCGAAGCTTTAACTGAATTGTATATTCCTGAATTTGAAAAGAAATCAATCATTTCTTGCTCAATTTTCCGACCTTAGACTGAAAATATCCAACCGTGCTCTCACATTTTAATATCATGTAAAAAATTCAAATCGAGAAATAAATCTTGAGTAAATATTAATATTTTGCTCCACGCCCGCGTCTAAGATGCTTCTTGCATAATGCATCGTTCGGTCGCAACAAAGTTGGGTAAAGCAAACCCATTCCACAAACACCACGTGTGTTCTAAGTTTACTATACGATGTATGTATGCATTGTTTCTAATTAAAAACAAATATTTTAGTACACGTCTTGATTTCTCAGTACGACAGGAAAACTGTTGGTTTTAATTTCAGCGTAACTTGTTGCTGATAGAGTATGCTGAATTCATTTCTACTGTAGTACCTATAATGTTTTAAATTCCAAATGTAGTCCGGATAGCAAAATACTGTTTTTCTCCGTGCCAATGGAAAAAAAGCAGTATTTTTAATACGGTTTGCCAGCTGATTACACCAGTTGCTAGAATAAAAAGGCGCCAATTTGGTAGCAAATCAAACTATTTTTTTGTTGCATAGTTTGATATACCAATATGCAAAGAAAGCCAGCCATCGTTCATTCTCATGAAAAGGTTTTTTAAATATCAAATCATAATAAGAAGCAAGATTTTGCACTCTGATAACTTTCTCTAAGATAAAGTTTTAAAAAGTTTAAGTTAAAAGAAAAAGGTGCTTTGTGACTGAATATTAAAGTAGTTAGGACTTAGGAGTTGGTTTAGTTATTCAGTTACTGGGACAAAATATTCCTCAATATAACGTGGTTGTTCAATTTACGTGGCTCTACAACTTGCCCAGTGTCACATACCATGACTGTACCATACAAAAATCACGTATTTTCCGATAAGTAGGTTTAGTGTAGGTACTCTATGTGCTGCGAACCTTATCTTAGTTTGTGTGTAAGTGTACCGTAATCTCATTTAAAGCATAGTGTCGTTATTTTGCATCCAGCTGCTATGCTGGCGACGAGGTACAGAACATTAAGCAATTAATACAGTAGCTTTACTGTGCAAATTCGGTCGACGAGTTCGTCTAACCAACGTCATATGCAGCACTACCAAGTAGTTTTTGCTAAGATGTATGTCCATTAGGATGCTAGTTACATCGTCCAAGACTCAACTGCATAACTCCCACACGTCACTTTACATTCCGAATTTCCATAGCAAAGGGGCGACAAACTACTGTACAACTATGCATACGAATTTGGTAATTTATTGGAACGAAATGTATGCTAAATGAGAGAGTAGTACCTACGTCCCTTCACACAATGTAATTCTGAGTTTTCACCTCATTAAAACTAAAAAATAATGTAGAGCTTGATGAACTCAATTGTCATTTTTATAACGATGAAGTTGGGGCGAAAGTTTCATACTTACAGATAAGCACTATGGACACAATCAACTAGAAAGATATTTTTTGCTACGATTTGTCAGGTGGGAATTAATCTCCTAATCACAATCATTATCTACCTATATTTATTTATTTATTTCAAGGCATAACCTACGTCCTACACAATACACATACTATTATTAAGTAAAATGAGATGATCATCCAAATGTGTTTATCTCATAAATCCTTTACAGTTTTGAGCACCTCATAAAGCAGTGACTCATCAGCCACTCTGATTAATACAAATCCCTCTTTATCCAAGCATAAGAGCGTTGTAATTTAGCTAATCCTGCTAGTGCAAGCGAAGTCTAGTGGAAAATTGCTGCAAGGTTCGCCATATTTTACGTAGCATTTTTAATTTCAGTCTTATTAAAGAAAACCTCGGATATATGCATTCGCAGAATGGGCTTAAAATTAAGGCCATTATGTGCTACAGTTTCAGAGGGAAAAATATTGTATGATCCTACACGGTGACATAATAAATAAAATAAAAATTTCAATTCTACATTATAAGCTTGCAAATCTTAGAAAAATAATGTAGAATTGAAAAAATATGTTTGACTCACCTCTCCAAAAGAAAAGCGTTTCCTAATACCTTTGAAGGTGACTTTTCGTCGGGCTAGGTGGGATTTGGTGTTATTTACGAAATATATTATCTAATCTTCATAAATTTACCCTGGGTATTGAGCCAAATCCTACTTCTTTACAGCATTAAAGATATTGAGCTTCCAACTTATCAGAATCCAAATAAGTATGTGGTAAAAGGTTCTCTTAAGGTTTCCAAGTAGTTTTTTCTTAACAAAGGTCAGACAGGAAAAATCTCGTCTCATATTACATTGTTCTCCAAATTGAGTAGGTACAAATGTATTTGTAACTAGTCTTTCCTCATAATCATCATTATGATACTGAATTAGTTTTTTGATAGAATAAGCTATATTAACTACTGCGCACTTCACTGGAATGCCACCTCCCCGCGTTTGCCTCGTCCGTACCAGAGCGTCGATGTGACGTTACGGCTGCCAGGTTCACAGTTAATTCGAATAGGTTGTACGTTGAAATTCTAAAAGTCAACGACAGAACACTCACCGGTTGTTGAGTTGTGGACCGACCCAGCGTCGACCGCGGAGTTATCAGGCTCTGAGTGAGTCTGGCTGTGCTGCCTCCTCGGAGCCAGGTGTTGGGCAGAGTGGTGGCCACCCATGCCGCAGTCGTTCCCGCCTTCCGACCTCCTGCAGGTGTAGGATTGTGTCAATGACAGAAGCTGGAGAATATGGAGCTACGTCTTCGAGGCACATGAATGATTTTAGGATCGGCTGTCGACGATAAATCTAAGATGTCTACTAACATTGCATAGAGCAACTGAAAATGATTCAATATTTTAAAACTGTGTGGCAGGGTTATAATTATATTAGAGACAGTTGAATATTGCGCGCGATATCACGTCTTTGCCGGTGATTTTAATTTGAGAAACCAATCACGGGCTTGAATCTGTTCTTGAGTGTATAAACTGGTTTCATAATACGGGCCAGCTCTTTAGTTAATTAAGTAAATTAATACTTTGTTTACTTGTATTTTATTTTATTTATAAAGACACATTTTTCATACACTCTATTGTCGACTACCGACCCTAAAACATTTCATGTGGCTTAGATAAATATGGTGCTTCAGTTACGTGTTTTAAGTTTGTATTGTAACCGTGACGTTATAACATTTTTTATCCATTTGAAAAGATATAATAAGATTTACATTGTTTTGTTTTGTGTATAACACTGTGTAAGAAAGTTGAAGCTGCTTTGTACTTTAAAGTTTGCCGTAGCCGTGTTGTAGATATTTTAGATAAATAAATAAATAATTTATATAAATATACGAGTAATTAGACATACTTGTATGTAATAAAATTATTACGAATTACGAAATATAAAATAAGTTTGAATATTTACATATTAATTAATAAATCAATACTATATTACTTACCATTATACAACAACAGTACAATAAGGTTCTAAGGGAATCGAGGTTTGAAATTAATAATTGAAATAGTTTGAATCGAGTAATACTTGTTCTGTAGGTATTTTCTTTTGTAAGACCAAACAATAGGCCCGAATCAATAAGTTTATTAACATTGTATTTCAATTGTAAAGTTAGGAAATGAAGAAAGGCGTTGTGATGCTCAAACTGTGCTGTATAAACTTACCTTTTCAATTATTACGTGAGAATTGCAAAAATCATCACAGGTATTAAGTATTTAGTAAAAACGCCAGTCCGTATAAGCTAGACATAGAGATGTTAACATTTTACCAGTCGTGATAAAATTTTGCAGAAAAGTGTGTGTGAATGTTGTGTCGATTAGAAAATAAAGATCATAAAAATTAATAGATTTGCTTTGTGACAAGAATCAGTGCGTTGTTATGACGTCATATATTTACAAGTGACGTGTGTGCTACGAGTGTTACACACTAAGCTACTTCTAACTACAGCTATGCAGAAGCGAAGCCAATCGCCATATGAGTCTAATTGACTTACTGTTTCCACAACCGTCTCCTAACAGATGCAAGAAAGTAACAAAAAATAAAATTATAAAAACAATCATGACGGTGAAAATTTTGGTTTTATCTTTGCCGATCGTGTGAGGAAACAAAATGGATGACTCTGAATCGGGGGAATTTATTAGAATTTTGGATTACAGTTCTATATTTTACAAATATACAGCGTTCTGTCAGTATCAGGCCTCTACATTTAACAATTTAATTAATGAAATATAAGTTAATTTTATTTACATTCCAAATCCATAACTGATCTGGCGTTAATAACTAGTATGACTGTGGTATGACTCTATGTACTTTATTCTCTCTCTATAAATAAAATTAAAATACTACTGAAAGTTATGTCTTTGTTATTTTACCTCTATCATGTAGACATAACATCTATGAAAGTTTAACAATTGACAGCGCCTGAGTTTACGTCACCTTGACAGTTCTGACAGAAACGCTGTAACCTACAGAGTAGTCTAGCCTGGGACTTCATGAGGATGGGTCAATCGAATATAAAATGGCACAGCACACATGCTTCGATCGTGGCATGATGGTCAGTATGGCACTATGCTTACTCCAGTGAATCCTAGCTTGAGCTTGTGTGTAGTTTATATCCATTTCTGTAATTCTACATTATTTTTACAATCATATCAATATCTTATTCAACAATTAAAAAAAACTTCTTATCAAGTTTTTTTCAGACTAATTTGAAAGTATTTTTATCATCAATTTGAGAAATAAACTTAACAGTCCTAGAGACTGTACTGTACTGTATTTGTAATCATCATCTCTTGACACTAAAATACAGAAATTAAAATACCTGAAATCAAATTAAGAACCTAAAATAATTATGATGAGTAAGTCAATAAAATCTCAGCCTAACTTTCAATTGTTTCGTATATTTAATGTATAATGAAGTATTACATCACGTACCTTCTAGTATTGGCCGTCCGGCGCGTGCCAGCGGAAGTGGTGCGCGGACGCAGGCTTTGAAGGTCGGCGGGCATTTCGCGCACTTCCGGTAGGAAAGCGTCATCCGTCGTCGAGGGCACTGACGAAAGTAACCTCTTTATATCTAAGAACAAAAGGGAAGTCGAAGCACAGATAAACTAAAATTGCAGTTGAAAATAAATAGAGCACAGAAAAGCTAAGTAATATTTCAAAATGCAAACAATAAATAAGTAGAGGTCAGCGAATTTTCCAAAGGTTTGAATAAAAATTCTGCGACATAAATTCGTGTAATAATAGACACTATATTGTGAAATATTTTTTCTAAACTCTGCAGCAAGTCAAAAAACCTTCTCCGATCCGAAATAACACCATTTAGTATGAGAGCAACATCCTCGTGTATTGAATTACTTTATTATGAAAGAGTAATTCGTTTTTATTTTCAGCACCTTAATCACACTCGGATCAGTGTGCTTACCATGAGTTTACGTTAGGTGTGCTCGCTAGCGACTGCGTAAAAAAATGACATTTAAATGTATGACATATTGTGCAGCGCCTCTAGCGGCTACTTTCAAGAAATAAAATCTTCATAGAATTTTTTGACGTATTCGCTAGCGAGCTCACCTAACGTAAACTCATGGTAAGCACACAGGGGTGTTTTTTACATGCTGTACAAAGACATAGGAAATATAATAGGTGTATATTCAAATGGGTTGTTTACCTTTCTTCTCATCGCTGGGCTCTGTCCTGTTGCTATCGGAAGACCTCTGCCTCGCCGGAGTGACAGGGGGAGGGGGGCGCACAATCGGTATGACTGTGACGTCAGGCCCCGCCACGCTGCCGCCTGATGACGTGGAAATGGAGTCCGCTTCGGGCTCCTTCTCCACTGCCACTTCTGGCGCTGAGTGAGGCAGCTCGTCCTAACCAAAGATTAAATACTTAGCTGATGAAAAATTAAGTGTAGACTTGATGCTCGTATGATTTGGAAAACGTTCGGTGTAAAATCATGCTCGAAATTATGTGAGAATGTGTTAAAACATTTAAAAAAACAGCAGGCAAAGTAATGCAACTATAAAATTGAGTAATTAATACACTAAAACAAAAGAGTTTCGTGAAAAAAAAATGAAAACACAGAAGTTAAAATGGTGTCAAAAAAGAATAAAACAAGTGAGAATGTTCTACTTACGAGTACACTGAAGTAGACCTTTCCACATAAAATTGCAAAAATGAAAAGATATTGGTCTGCAAGCTTGTTAATTAATAAAAACTGTTAAAATAATTATTATGGTCTGTTTGATTGAAAAAAAAAACTGTGTAACAAAGAAATTGAAATATTTGAAGCAATAAAAATAAAACAATCAAAACACTTGTAATAACAAAATAAATCAGTAGGTACTTTTTCCTTCTGCTGCTTGCAAAATCATCACAAAAGGAGTTAATGCTACCGCAGATAAAGTGGAAAGGTCTGCCTTTTGATTTTACGAACAAATCAACAACATTTAGTTAAGTTTAGTAGTTAAGTGCTGCCTCGGACGACACAGAGCGCTTAAATATTTAGTCTTTACTTTAGCTAATTGGCGTTAAACAACTTTTGTCTTGTTAACCGCAACAGCGTTGTTTAGATAAGTTATTTATATTGTAAAATGGCTACTTTTTAAACTACGCGTTTCACTGCCCATTTGGTAAGAATGGAAAATAGCAAAAGCAATAATAAAAGAGGCTTGTTATAATCTTTTACATGCTAAGATGCTTTACTAGAGATGTTAGGCTGAGTTGACCTCACACACACACACAATCACCTTAATTTAACAGTAACTATAACCGGTATTTTTTGTCGTTTGTTAAAGATAAATAAGATGGTGCCCAGCCTTAGTTGTCTGAAACATGAAAACAGCCAGTGTTATTGGCTAAGAAATTCTGTATTTCTATGCAATTTTTGCTTTATCTCAAATAGTTAAATTTTATCCAAAAACTGGATCAAATATAACTTTTGAATCGATAGACAGGTGAAGCTAACTAAAGCATGTAATGAAACTGTTATTGTAGTTGTAACCTACATTCAGGTGGAAACTTTTATAATTCATTGTTATGAGGGGCAATGCTCCATATTTCCATGCATTAAAAAAAGATAAAACACGGTTTTAAATCTACGTAAATGGTAGGTTGCTATTACCATTATAACTAAGTTAGCCATTGCATTAGTGTTGTACAAGTAGGTAGATACCGATCATATCAATATCGGTAAACTGGTCAAAGCAGAAGGAGAAATGGCAATTCTTGTATTAAGTGTTCTTTTGAACAGAATATACAGAATATCTTGTCTACAAGTAGTATAGAATTTGACTTTGAACATCAAAATACATTTTTACTTGCTTCATGTTAGCTTATGAAAAAAAAATGCAATTCAAGTAAAATTATTACATGCTTTTACCAGAGTCTGCACTCTGCATTAAATTGCAGAATAAAAGCAATCATTTGCTTTCATGTTTGCGTTTAGCAAACGAAACCAAACAGTTTAATGTAAATTGAAATTCAGTCAGTAAATTAAATATGATGTTTGCGTACCTACAATAACAGAACAACGAAAGTGTTATTGAAATTCATCCCTTGTGTGAAATGTTTTCATAGCATGAATTTCAGCAAACAAACAGCATTTTGGTTATTAATTGATGTTTAGTTAGCAACAGAGAAGTACTGGAGGTACTTTACAAAACACCTGGTTATTCCAAAAATAATTAATATTGACTTTCAGTAATTAGGTACTTTAATTTGCTGAATTGATCCAAATTGCGGCTAAAATATTCTACAATTACACAGTCATGTGTTTTTTTTTTTACTTCATAGATTGGATATGCTTAATCTAGATTATAAAAGCATGTAAATAATAGAAAGCAGCTAATTAAGCAGTTTCAGATACATGCTGTAAAACGACACTGAGAATTCGATTCAAACTCGTCCATAGACTTGTTTGTAATAAAGTTTAATTTTAAAAACTCAACTAATTTTAATTTATGGTAGACTTTGAGTTAAGTTTCGAGCTTCGTTTCATAAACAGACCTCAGCATAGTCCCAAGCATCTAATAATTCCTATTCACAGGCATCTATAGTCCCGTACAGTTCAAAGCATCAGATTCTAAAGAAAGTTCAAATAACAGGCATCTATTATAGTCTCGTACTCTCTCAGTACAGCCACAAGCATCTAACGAAAGTCCTAATCACAGGCATAGAGTCCGGGCAGTGAAACGCAGAGGTAATAAGTGCTTACGTCGGAGGGCTGCGAGGCTTGCTCGTCCTCCTCTTGCACGGGGCGCACGGCGAAACGCGCGGCGCCGGTGTCGCTGTCTGACAGCACCTGCCGCGACCACTCACGTCACACACAGCGGGGTGGTTTGGCTTTGGAGGGGCGAGGTATCGAGTGATAGGTATTGAAAAAGTGACGAGAGATATCTCAACAGTGATACCTCTTGTATTGCAAAAATGACAAGAGGTATCACAAAAGTGACGAGAGGTATCACAAAAGTGACGAGAGGTATCGCAAAAGTGACGAGAGGTATCGCAAAAGTGGCGAGAGGTATCGAAAAAGTGTTAAGAGGTATCCAAAACGTAACGAGAAGTCTCCAGAAAGTGTGCTATTTCAGCAGATACCTAGTTTTTAATTAAATTGTAATAGCATGGTTTTTTCATGAAAATGAGTTGAAATATTTGTTAAATTCTACACACTGAAAGAATTGAACATTTAATGTCTATATTTTATCGACAAACGAATAGTTATAACATTATTAGATAGGTACCACCAACTACCGGCATTCTTCATAACATTGGGGCTGAGTAAAAGTTGTGAGTTACAACACTAATACAAAATCTACAAAATTCGATTTCCCGCCTCCAACAATGCCAAATCACCAATTTACACAATAAGCACGAACAAAAGGCCAGATCTAAATACTTCAATCATTAAAACAGATTAGTACAAAGTTTCTACACATAAAAAACTAAGAACTTTGTTACTAGATAATTGTACAATAAACTAAAGTAGCATAAACTAATAAAAACCTTTAAGCCTCCAAAGACTTTCTCAAAAGTTGAATGAACTAAAATAAAAGTTCTGGCGTTTTGTTCTAACACAAAACATGGAATGAGAATGTAAATCGATACTCGGCGACAACAAAATACATCGACATCGATAAACATGCTGAAATGGTAACACAAAACGTTGCATTAGTAGACTCAGATGCATTCTTGGAAATATCGATATAATATGGAAACTTAACTAGGACACTTAACATCAATATTAAGTTCAAAAATAAAATATAAGAGCTAATAAGATAGGTTAGGTTAGGTTAGGTTGGGGTGCGATGGTGAGGGACCTCCACGTGGTGCATCCCGGGCAACGTCCGCGTTGTCTTTTCACGCGGGCGGCTGACTTCTCACCTGCGCGGCAGGTTGCGTCAATTCGGCGGGCCTGTCGGGCGACCCGTAACCCACAACGGAGTGGGCCGGGGGCTGTCGGGGCATTTGCCCGGGCCGCGATGCAGGGGACATCTCAGAAACCCCCCCAATCCCAAGGTCTACAGGGGCCGAGGGGACGCGTGGTCGTAGGGTGTACGGCCGCTACCCTGCTTGAGAGAGGGTGTGGGCAGCTGCGCCCGGAAGCAGTAAACTATGACATGGACACAAGGAAAACTAAACTACCCCAGGGAGGTACCGGCAAAGCCGGAGAATCCTCTGCCGCTACGGCGGTCACGGCCCACGTATCTGGGGGGGCCGCACCGTGTTCTGTGTCTTCGCCGGCGAATGCGCCGAAATCTTGCAAGGTCGAATTGACCAGCTTTGACCGAGGGCTTCGGAATATGTTCGGAGCTAAACCTAAAATCGACCAGATCGCTAAAAAGACAGTTGAGACTGCCGTGGATACAACCCGCGGTGTGACTCCTGTCCCAGAAAGTAACCCAGACTTGACGACAGCAAAGGTGGTGGTTGAGACTCCCCCGGTTCTACCCGGGGATCTGACTCCCACTACCCGCAGCCGCTCCCGGATCAATAGTGAGGACTCCGTCACTCGGGCTGCCACCAAGCGGCGGATCGAGGAATCGGAAGAGTCACAGTACTCGGATTTAGAAACCGATAATTCTGAAAGGGTTGATCGCTTCATTGAAAGATGCTTAGCAGCCGACACGGATGACTCTTGCATGTCGACTGAATCGGCTCCGTCAACAAAACACACAGCATCGTCACGTGGCGGCAAAAAACCCCGGGGCCGTGGTAGAGCTCAAACAAGCGGGGAATATATCGGCTTGAGACAGAAGTGGGCTGAAGAGAGGTTGCTTGCCAAGGAGCAACTTGAAGACTCCGAAGAATCAGCCATACGACTGACTAACAAAATGAAGACGGCGCGACTTCGCGCTCAGGATAAATCGTGCATACTTACTGCAGCAGAGCTTATGGAGACTATCCGCACAAGTGCTCAGGCGGTTTTCAAGTGCGCGGGAAAGTGCAGTAAGATCAGAGGCACTGAGCAGGGGGCCTTTAAGGAAGCCGCTTTGACTATCGAGGCAGCAATCACGGCACTGGCTGATCGGCCTCCTGATGAAGAAATTCACAGACTAAACGTTGCCAACTCCCTCCTTAAAAAGGAATTGGAGGAACTTCGTCAGGAGGTTCGCAACCTCAAAGAGGAAAGGAGCAAGGTCACCCCAGCCATCATCACTGCTCCTCCCCCCGTATGTTCTACACAGGCGGGTGATATGGAGAGGGAAATAATGATTCGCGTAGGAACTATGGTTGACGCCAAACTGCAAGGCATAGAGGAAAGACTCCTCCCAGAAAAGCGCCTTCGCCCATCTTTGGCAGCAGACAAAGCGAAAGTACTGGCCCCAGCCGAGGACTCAACCGCTCTCACCACGAAAAAACAAACCGGCCCAACCACACGGGCGTCGGCTAAAAGGGTTGCCCCAGCACCCTCCGTAAAGAGTGCACCTGCAAAAGCTGCAACAACCGCAGCCCCTCAGGCGCACACCAGTCAGAAGGAATCCTTGGTTGCCGAGCCTCTCGTAGCGACCGTGGAACTAGCGTCGCCTCCTAAAAGAGGCCGCGTTAGAAAGAAAGGTAAGGGCAAATCTCAACCTACCCCCATGCCTACCCGTCCAGAACCTCGCCCGCTTCCTCCACCCCCCGTGTCCATGGATGCTGAGTGGACGGAGGTTGTAAAGCGTGGTAAGGGTAAGAAGCAAGGAGGCCAAGCCACACTAACCAGCGCCAAACCGCCTAGCCAACAGAAGGCTGGGCCGGGCAGAGAGAAGGGCAAAGCCCGCAGGGTTCGTGTCCCGAGAACGGCCGCAATCTCGGTCGTGTTTACGCCGGAGGCCGCTCGTCAGGATCCACCTCGTGACTTCCAATGGTTTATGCACATTGCAAAGCAGCAGGTGGATCTCGCCCAACTGGGCATAATGGACGGCCTCCGCTTTAAGCCAGGTCAAACGGCAGCGAAGCTCCTCGTCCTTTCTGGTCCAGACGCGGAGGAGAAGGCGGATAGGCTGGCTGCTGCCCTCCGTGATGTCCCCGCTTTCACAGCGGAAATGGTCGCTATAAGGCGACCGATAAAGAGTGAAGACATCCGACTGTCCGGTTTGGATGAATCTATCGAACAGTCGGAACTCGCTACGGCTATTTCCATCAAAACTGGGTGCCCACTAGAACAGATTAAAGTGGGTAAAATAAGCGGAACCCGGGACACCCGCAGTGTCATCGCGCGGGTGCCGTCGAAAACGGCGAAACAGCTGGCAAGTCTACGTCGGCTACTTGTAGGATGGGCCTCGGTGCAAATTACGTTGCTAAAACCGAGACCTTTGAGGTGTGTGTCTTGTTGGGGCGATGGGCATGTTGCTCACAAATGCGCTGCCAACGTCAGCGACCGCAGTGCACTCTGCTTCCGATGCGGTCAGCCTGGGCACCAGAGGAAGGAGTGTCCCGCCAATGAACCCCGCTGTCTACTTTGCTCAGCGGTAGGAAAGGCAGCGGACCACACGCTGGGGACAAAAGATTGCCCTCAGCCGCAGCAGAAGTCGAAACCGGTGCTTTCTGGGCCCGGCCGAACGGCTAGCCTCATGGAGGTGGACGCGGGGGCGTCCGCTTCCTAACACTGAGGCCCGAAGTGCGCGCGGAGTCCCCGCGTGCTTTGGAGAGATGACCCCTTGAAGGGGTCTGTAGAGCGAGGCTGCGGCCGATGCGTGGGGGCAGGCATGCGAACGATTCACCGACTCGTACGCTGCCCCACTAAGCGCGACCAGAGGGACCCGACTGGTTTTTAGTGGGTAGGCCTTGCCCTTCAGGCGAGGAGAGTCCCACATAAGCCGGGGCCGGTGAGTATGCAGTTTCATGCATTTTCCAGTCGAAAAAAAAAAAAAAAAAAAAAAAAAAAAAAAAAAAAAAAAAAGGTTAGGTTAGGATTAGATCAAAATAAAGATTTCTTTGAAATTATTTTTTTCTTCTTGTTTCGTCTTTCAAAAGATGGTTAAACTACACAATTTAAATTAATTTCCAGTTAATTGTTTCACCTAATTACATGGCAGCAGATAATTTTAGACTTCCCGTGCCGTATATCAGCCAGTTTGGAAACTAATTGAGATTAATATCATCAAGACGACCCGTGAGGGATTATTGCGAACTTAGCGAGCATCTTGCCAGTCTATGATTGATGAATCGCCGATGATTCAACCGATTTAGAACTTTGCTGATTTACTCTGCAGCTATTAATTTGGAGCGACGATTATAATTTAATGATCGGAATTTGGATCGGGTGGAGCTGGGATAAACGACCCTACGCTTTAATCCAGCCCCCCAAGGATTCCATGGCATCTACTTAGAGTGACAGTTTCGATTGAGGCAGATAGTCAAGATATATTTGCATGTATAAACTATTCAAAAGTGCTTGCAAATATTATTATAATTTATCGGCTTCTAACATATTTTTCATCATTAATTCGCTCGGACAAAAATGTAAATTTCTTTTAGTGATCGTTAACACTGAATGGCTTATTTTGATTAAGGTAGTAGGTATTTATCAGTTATCTTTCACAACAGTACGAGCTCTGCTTAGTTTGGGGCAATTTACTTGGATCAAAATCTTAACAAGTCAAGAAAGAATCGACAAGAATCATAACTCTTACCTCAGACCGATCGCTGGCAGTTCTCAGCCGCGACCCCCCAGCCTGGAAAGTGGGGGGCGGCGGGCCTAACGTGTCTGTTGACCCTCGGTTCACCAGCGAAGGGTGGGTCGCCATGAACCGATGGATTACTGCTAGGTGGTTCATGGTCTGTTCCGCTACGTCTTCTAGCTTACGCAATCTGAACTCTACACTCTGAAAAATAAGGTTAAAGTAAGTTTGCGTGAAAGTTTAGACCTTTAAATAGCTTGATGATTTAGTTATCTTACCTGCATAGACTGTATTTGGCAATTAGCTTTTTGATTTAAGTCCTCCATTTTGGTCGTGATATGTTCTACCCTGTCTGTAGTGTTTCTTACTCTCTCTTCTATTGAATTAGATAATTTAACTTCCTGAAAAAAAAAAAACAACATTCATCACAGCATTTATGAAAGTAGATAATTATTTAAGGCGTCATTAGATTTCATCGAATTCTTAAAAGTCAGATAGGTTGATTTTGAATTTCAGCCTATCACGTCAGTGCCACCAAATACATATAGTTCATTACATGGTGGCCTAGGAATGTTACAAAAGTTTAAATGACCTTTCCTATAAACTTTAATATTGCGGCAAATAAAGGTGAACTTAATAGATTAATTTAACGATAGACAAATAGTTAACAAAACGATCTTCAGCAATGAGCGGACGAAAAAGAACAACTGTATTAAACGTAGTCACTTCGAATAAAAGCTAAGCTTCTATGACTAAATTCGACTAGCAAAATACTAGTAAAACTTACTTGTTCCCTAAAATACCCCTCAACGCACTCCTCCTCGAAGTCATACAGCCGTTCCATGTCCTCCTTCTCCAAGAACAGCTTCAGTCCATTGTCGTACTGGAAGCGTTTGTGCGACACGTTCCTCGTCACCCACTTGCATGTAGCGTAGATGTGGCAAAAGATGATGATCGGTGGTGGCAGCACTGGCTTCTGTTCGTACTCCATCACCACAGTGAATCGTTGGAACATCCACACCTGTGGAGTGGTGGGTGAAGATGGTGATACTTGTATTGGTGATACACGACGTTATTGTTATAGAGTTAGGACTGAGTCATACCACGATGGTAATCGCATCGACACATTGAATAAGGACAATCATACTCATTTAATCTAAAAATCTACGCCCTTATTACACTGAGGGCTATAAAGAACCCTGTCCATTACTCATGCAAATGTACAAAAATAAATGTTTTTTTTTGGAAATATCCATTAGATCGATTAGTTCGTATGAATTTGTTACCAAAATATGGTATCCTCGTGAGAAATCCTTAAAGAATTCTTAACATGCCAGATTTATAGTGCACCTACTGGGCACTCCCAGTAGGTACCCTAAGTCCTTAGGCCTTAATACGGAAGTAGAAATATATTTATGTAATAGCTGTCTTTTCTAAGGTAAATTAATTGCTATAACTTGCGCTTTGTACTAAAATTTTCAATACCTAATAAAGTTTGCAAACTAAAAAGGTAAACAAACCTAAACAAAAGAGAAAATAATAAAAAGAAAATTTTACTTACAACATCCAACTAGCATAGCTTGCAATTAAAAATAATATTTTACCTTGAGTCACCAAGAAAATAGCGAGTCAAACTTTGTAATTAGACAAAAAGAAAATACAAGATAATAAGAGACACCAAATGAAACGAATAACAAGTTGACTCACTATTTTACAACGCGACTGACAGTCATGCAATGTTGGTCTAATCAGAATCGGACAAGATCTCACAAAGGAAGGAAGAAACTATTTTTTGAGAGCTATAAATGATTTTTTGGCTAATTGCGTAAGTAGATTCAAAAGTTTGCCCAAAGGAAGTATGGGACTATTCCCACCTCTAGTACCCACCACTGCAACTCCAGTGTAGCCGGGATCTACAGCTTGACCGCCAATAAAAACCCAACCAGTGAAGGCAAGTTAAGTAGTCGCCAGAGAAAGCTATATTCTGTCATAGGAACCGCAACGAAATTAATCAGAAGAACATAGGAGGTCGAAGCTTTAAAGGACACCTGTAGATCTAGTCCGATTCCGACCACCCAAAAACAAAAAAAAAACAAAAGAAAAAAGCAAAAACCTGATGCGAGACTTCATTGACTTCGTTAAATATGTTATTGAACACGGCAATTAGCAGGTTTATGAGCAGTATATTGGCGACGAGGAGGTATATCGTCATCGCGATTGGGGTGATCCAGCGGCCGGTGACGCATTTGTGGTCGTTGACCTCCAGCCCGCAGTCGGGGTCGATGTCCGGAGCGAATACTTCCCCGTACAACATGAAGTAGGGCTGGAAGAACACCTAGGGGAAGGAAAAAGTAAAGGTAAAAGGGGGTAATAACTAAAAGGACGCTACCCGTATGTTAACCCTTAGCAGTTACAACCTTTTTTTTTAACTATTCCTTTGGCATTAGGACCAAAACAACAATTTGAACCTGTTTTGATTGTTAAAGGGTTAAAGCCTTATTTTCTTACTCAAGTGACTTTGAGTCAAGGAAGATAATGAAGCTAGAAAAGCTTGTCATTTGCCTTAACTGTCCTCTTCTCAGTAACTAAAGGTATTAACATACGGGTGCTGAAACTTATTCACAAACCAAATAAAATACTGAAAATCACGCAATTTTCTAATATTGCGTGTTTATCAGTAGGTTTTAAATAAAGATTAATATCAAAGGGAAAGGAAGAAAGGTGGATGGCTGGGATTTTTAGACTAGATATTTACCTAAAATATAAATAGAACTAAAAAACTAAAAATCTACAATACTATTATCTACTATAGCATCTACCTACCATGAAGTGATCAACAAACTAATTACAAATAGTTTTTTTTCTGGGTTTAGTCATTCCCATTTTACCCGTTTGTCTCCATTCACCAAATACCGTAATCAAATCTCGCAACAGGGCTACAACAACGAAACAAGCAAACAAAATCGATTGCACGAGTACTATAACATCAGCAAACCTGATGCGACACTCCGTTGACTTCAATGAAAATGTTATTGAACACCGCTATGAGTAGATTAACTAGTAAGATGTTGGCAATGAGCAGGTACACGCTCATGACCACCGGTGGGACCCAGTGGCCCACGCGGCACTCTTCCAGCCCTGGCAGGCCGCATGGAGGGGCCATCTGTTCCGCGAACACCTCTCCGTACAGCATGAAATACGGTTGGAAGAACACCTGCAAATGTTAGTACATGGAGAATGGCCTAGATTTTGTTAGTTGGGAATTAGTTTTCAAAGTAAATAAGTGTTGTTTGATTTCTAGAACAACATGTGATCGGCGAAAATAACCTTTAGCGTTGTATATTCATGACTTATATTTCTTTGCGCCATATCCTCGTTCAAACACAAAGAGAACAATGAAATAACAAAATCTTTTTTTGTTTTTATATGCCTAACAATAACGCTTTGCCCTAATTAAAATGAATTTGATGATACGCAATTTACCCATATTAAGTAAATGAATTGATTATTGAGACATTCGCATTTGAAAATGAAATACATATAACATGTTATGGGACACTGTTATTGTATTTGAGACACACATTTAAAGGAACCGTCAGCAATTTCTGACTGATGTTACTCCTCGCGCTTAAATTCGTTCTACATTTAACACCCCAATAATTTTGAATGTTAATGAGCAAATCGCCGCCCACTCATCATAATCTTAATGAGAATCGTATTATATTCCAAGTTTATTAATTTCTGTAACTTTAGAAATGACTGACTTGATCAGTGTGCCTACCATGAGTTTACGTTAGGTGTGCTCGCTAGCGACTGCGTAAAAAAATGACATTTAAATGTATGACATATTGTGCAGCGCCCCTAGTGGCTACTTTCAAGAAATAAAATCTTCATAGAATTTTTTGACGTATTCGCTAGCGAGCTCACCTAACGTAAACTCATGGTAGGCACACAGAAGATATCGTCTTATAATGTGTTCTTGGATTGAATGAAACCTTATTAGTTAAGTTTAAGAGAATTTACGGCGAATTGCGCTATAAATACACTATGCTCTTACAACGAAATAAACCCATCAAGTGAGTAGGTACACTACTTTGGTTGAAATAATTTAGTAAATATAATAAGTATGAGGATACTTTTCTCTGAACGAATGTTATTTTACCGAATTCTCTGAATTTAGTCTGTGTTATGAAATTATACTCATTTGTGTATTATGAATCTTATCTCCAGAATAGATTGAGTCGGTCTAAATATTGTATTCAACGAATCTAGGCATGACATTATATCGAGTGTTGAGTTCGTTTCTTAATGCAGGCTTTAAATTAACAGATCCTAGAAGTGCCAATTTGTCATAAAAGACTTAGGTCGTAGTGTTTGAAGAAGAAATCGACATTTAGCTAATTTCAATCATCATCAACTTTATTAGTGTGTCCTCATCATGAAGTTAAAAACCAATTAAAAAATATTCAACATTTCCTATTCAGACGGCTAACGTATGATGTATATCCTCAGTACTTATCCTAAGAATAAACAGATTTATCACAAATTTTCTTACCTCTCTTATCAAATACCAACTGGCTTCTTTGTCGGGGTAGAGGATGGCCTGCCTCGCCACCCCGAAAGACATCAGCACCACCAGCAATAGCACCACGAAGTATATCATGTTCTTCACCATCTTACCCATCATTGTGACTAGAGGACCTGGGGCGGAGAAAAAGGTAGCATTTGAAAAAGTTCTTTGCGCACAAGATATTCTACTTAATACTGGTAGGGAGGAGAATTTCTGATATTTTTTAAAATAATATTTCATGTTTCTAAAAATCTCATTAAAAGCAACCTAGCAGCAGTAGCAGTATGGGAGCGGCACGGGAAGGTGTTTTTGTAATGTCAAACGTCAGCGCGACTTCAGATTTGTATGCTCTGTCACGTCAAAATGTGTCAATGTCACCCCTCTCTATCCCATACCTCAGGTACTGACTGAGTTAAGTGCTATACATATAAGAATTAATGAATTTTATGATTTGGCACGGTATTTAAAATAGGCAGCAAGTTAACACGGAAGATTCCAGAATATGTAAAGCAAAATTCAAGATTGCAAAAATTTAATTAGAATCTTCGGAGCACTAAAAAAAAGTGAAAAAGAAAGCATGACAAGTTTTCAAAAAGTAAATAAGATTTTCATAGAAGGTGTAGGTAAGTAAGACAGGGTAGAAAGTGTGTACAAAGAACTGACCTAAGTACTTATTAACGCCCAGTATGTTGAGTATCCTGAGGTACCAGTAGATGATGTCGACGCAGTAGATGACGCGGCCGACGTCCATGCTGCTGGCGCGCAGGCGCAGGCTCAACCCCACCAGGAAGAAGATGATGAAGCCCGCGTCGTACGTGTTCCACATGTTCCAGGCCCATACACTGAACTTATGTCTACAAAGAAAACCACAAGAGTTACTGTCTAGAAAACACAGAGGTTTATAATATAGGAAGGAGGTACGGCACGGAGGAATATAATCATCAGTCTCCACTGCAGGACCCCTTATTAACTGAATTAATAACCTGAACTGAACATAAGTGTAGAAAAAAAACCACTAGAGTTACTGAACTTATGTCTAGGAAGAAAACCACAAGAGTTACTGAACTTATGTCTAGAGAGAAAACTAGAAGAATTACTGAACTTATGTCTAGAAAGAAAACCACAAGAGTTACTGAACTTATGTCTAGGAAGAAAACCACAAGAGTTACTGAACTTATGTCTAGAAAGAAAACCACAAGAGTTACTGAACTTATATTTAGAAAGAAAACCACAAGAGTTACTGAACTTATGTCTAGAAAGAAAACCACAAGAGTTACTGAACTTATGTCTTGAAAGAAAACCCACAAGATTTACTGAACTTATGTCTAGAAAGAAAACCACAAGAGTTACTGAACTTATGTCTAGAAAGAAAACCACAAGAGTTACTGAACTTATGTCTTGAAAGAAAACCACAAGAGTTACTGAACTTATGTCTAGAAAGAAAACCACAAGAGTTACTGAACTTATGTCTAGAAAGAAAACCACAAGAGTTACTGAACTTATTCTGTAATCTATTATTGATACCATTGGATAGAGCTTGTGAAGCACTTTTAGAATCAGTAATCAGTTTTACGATATCATGTGTAGTTTTTAAAATAATGTGATTTTACGAAATGTATGGAAGCTGGAAACATTGAATTTTCGGATAGATCCAGTTAATTCTGTAACCTATTATTAATACCATTTGATAGAGCTCATGAAGCACTTTCAGGATCAGTAACTAGTTTATTGATATCTTGTATAGTTTAAAAATAATCGAGTGAGATCACTTATCGTTTCCACCCTGTATAGGAGTTCGAAAATTATGATCCATAATTTTGTGGCTGCTTCTGAATACGAAAGTTTCAACTTCAATTTGAGAGAAACATGATTACCTCAGGGTGGCTTAGCAACGAGTAGTCGATATTATATTTTATGTCTTTCGAACTCCTTCTATATTCTTCTGATTAAAATTTCTTTGTGGATTTCAAGACAGTAGCTAACCTCGGGATGGCTCTACCTTCAATGGAAGCAAATCTATAGATCTTTGCTATACATTTGCAGTGGTGGGAATGAAAGGTGCATAGTTTGTTTTTCTTTGTTTACTCACCTAATAGCAACAGGTTCGGACGTAATGATTTCCCTTATCTTCTCACATAAGAAAGTTAATATATAACAAATAGAATATATCTCCGGCCAAGACGGCGTTGGGTCCATCTTGACTAATACTGTATACGTAAACATCAATAGGAACAATATATAGGCAATCTGAAATGAAAAAGCAATCATTATTATAAGTAATATTACTAATCATGATAAATAAATGAAATATTGAAACATGTTAACGGGGTGTAGGGGACAGCTTTGGCACAAACTTAATTCACTGTTAATTCAAATCAATTTCAATTCCAAGAAATACAGAATACCTACTTAATAGTTTCAATTGAGAGTGCATGGTATGTTGTATTGAATGATTTTTGTATTAAAGGATCAGCGCTTATTAATCTAACATTATAAATAATTAAAAACTTTTTTATGCTTTGTCAAGTAGGTAACGAATAGATACTCGTATCCTACATATTTATTCCCTCGTTCATTTCACTCAATCATGAATGCATCAATATTTTAATAAATAATGCGATAGCGTTTTGCGGTCCAAATGAAAATTGGATTTAACAGTTTTTATGCCCCGTCGCATTCGAGGTACAATCAAATAATCCCAGATGAAACATGTTGATTTATTCATTAAATTCGATATGCAGAATACATTTTATTCCATCAGAGAAAAACAAAGTTATTTTATATTAAAAATAAAGCAAGACTACGTGGAAAAAACAAAAGATCACGATACTAATAATTTCTCAATTCATGTCAAAGAAAAAATAATGGACCTATCCTAATTTGGCATATAAACTGAAACAAAGAACTTAATTAATTTTTCACTTTCCCCTATTGGTAAAGAAAATAACGTTTATTAATAAAATTTTAATAAGCGCACCTTATATTACTTTTGCCTGTAACGTAACATTTCAGATTCGAGTATAATTGCTTTTTACATTACCATAAAGATTATGGATATGGAATAAACAAAAACCCATTACGGTCTATGGAAAAATACAGTAAATACTCGTAAATTACATTCGATTATCGATTTTCACTTAAGGGTGGTAATGGGGCTCGTGTATTGACGATAATATCTTATTTTTATTTAGCAATCTGTTAACATAAATGGTATGATGCGATTCTACCCAGCAAATAAGTAGTCATGAATTTATTGTGCTGATTGAAGAAGTCAGTAGGTACTTTTAAGGCTAAGCTAAGGCTAAGAAGAGGGCCTAAATACTCATTAATTATTTTGATATAAGTTTCAAGGAGGTCGCAAGTAAGAAGGGGTAGTCTGCGTCTAGTCTTTAATTTATTGATCAGTGTTTTTCTAAACTGTAGGAAATTGAAAAATAAACTCTTTTTTTGTGGTCGGATTCGACAGCGAAAGCGCGATCCAAGTCTCGTCAAATAAACTCCATAGCGATAAAAAGTGTATAAAGAGAATTCTCTGGAATTTTTTACAAGTTGTTTGAACGTTTCGCCCGGGAGAGCGCTGAGTCGGCGGAAAAATGCCTAATGGTGGCACGGTATCATTAATACAAGTCGTGCTCCATTGTTAGCCGCAATCCTGGGAGTAGCTGCACGTTATCTAAAGAAAACAGACATGCTACTTTTGCCACAGATCCATAAGGTTTGACGACCTATTTGGCGTAATGGCCGAGAACCCAGCTATCAGGATTCAGGATATTCCGGATTCAATGTGCAGACAGTTTGTATTGGTCTGGCATAATGTTTTCTATCTAATAACGCTTTCAGGAGGTGGAGACGTAATATGTATAAACGGCCCAGTTTTTTAAAACGGCTAGTCGTAATGTAATATGGCGGATTATACAATACTTCTGCGACAGATACATGGTTTTCCAAAGCAATTAGCGAATTTGCAACCGTATTGATACATTATCTAAACTTGACGAGTGACTCTACGGAATCGAAATTCTGAATTTTATGGACTCGATCGCAGTATCGAAATCTCGCATTCTAGCGATTGTTGCACGTTCCAATACCGTCGTGTTTTCGCGAGCGACAGTAGATTGGAGCTATCGAAAAAAAAAAACTATAGTTATGTAGATACGACAGGATTTTTATGCAGTGTGGTCGCTGCATAGCCTCCGAAAAAGTGTTAAATGCTCAGTTGTATATCTGCTACGTTGTTGTAAACATTGATGGATAGTGTTTTTATGTTACACGTAGGTTTCCCGCTACACGAGTGTTTTGCACGTGTTGGAGATTAACTGGTGTGATGGTGCTTTTTGCTCTATTTATTACAGTTGTTTAAACTTTCTTTGATTAGATGGGATTAGTATTCAGATATGATGTAGGTATGTTTACACTAAAGCTGTGCGCACGAGTGACTTTTTGTTACCTTGACAATATAATCCTTCTCTTTTACACTTTTATAAAGAGAAAAAGAGAGACAACGTAGTACATACTTATTACTATCTATGGATAAGCATACTGTCACGGTGACAAAAGTCAGCGGGTTAGATCAAGATTAATAAGGCTGAGTTGCGCCAACTTACTTTGACCGTAGCTTTAACAATAACCGGTGCTTTTTGTGTGGATTTTGACAGATTTTTGAAGTATGTTAAAGTCAAAATAAGATGGTGCAACTCAGCCTAAAAGCATAGAATACACTCACCGAATCAGCCCAAAACTTGGTGATCGGCGCCGTAAAGAACTCATAGATTTTCTTCCTCAGTCGGAGGGGCCTCATCCGCTTGTCCTCCGGCGTGTGGTGCTCCGGGAGCTCCCGGTACGAGGGCTCCCATCCTATTTTACCCACTTTCCCGTTCTGATCCACGCGAGTATCGCACTCGGCCCCTGAGCCAATCAACGCCTGCTTGAGTCCAGACAAATACGTATAAACATTACAATAACATGTTCACACCTCCAAAAATATAAAATAAATCGTCACAATAAAATGCACGAAATGCTTCAGTTAGTAAAGTTATAAGCGCTCGATAAGCAGTCCAGGCAAGTCCAAGCCGTCGGATTGAGCGTAGTAATCAAACTTGAAGGAAGAAAGGAAATCGAAATACCAAGACGAAGCGTCGCAAGACCTTAATTATACGTAGAAAACGCAACGCCAACACATATAAGTACTCTAACTACGAACATCGACACAAATTTATTCTCTCAAAAAAGGAAATTCGTCACTGTTCAAGGCTCACCTCGTGTTTAATAAAGCACTTCGCCTTTTTAATTAAAAGATTCAAACTCATTTCGGATCGTGAACCGGGCGCATTTTTTAATAAAGTGTAATTTTTGGCATTTGCGTATGCGGTGTCGATTTTTGGCCCCGAATTTTGGGTAGGGTAATAAATTTCCATCCGTTGATAAGGGATGGGTGAGTGGAGAACTTGAGGTGAGCCATAAACGGAAAATGTCTATAAGACGAGCAAGGTACTAAAGGTGTGAAGGTAAAATATAAGACGAACGAAGCCTACGTCACGGAAAGCGCGTGTACGCGTTACGGCGCTAAAATATACGGAGATGTGCGATATAAAACCATCCTGTATATTGAAAAGCTTGAAAAAACTTTTATGCAAATTTCAGAAAAAACATAGATCTATAAAAACAACTTTTTCGTACGTTCACGTTTTGCTACAAATTATAAAAGACAACTCGAAATAAGTAAAAATACTTGTTTTGCTAACGTAAGTGTATTTAATTTAAACGTAATGAAGTATTTAATTAATACATAATAATTATATGTAAAATTAAAGGCTACTGAAAATCGGAACATCTGTTTTCGTCACTGAGTGACTTGTAAGCATTGTGATTATTTATTTATTTTTCATAACTTTTCAATATAAATGATAGATTCATCTTTCTGTATATTTTAGCAACCTGTATACATTGTTTGCGTGTGCGAAAAAGTCATACGAACACAAGACTCTTTCTATACTGTGTTTTGTGTGGAATTTATTGGCACTAAGACACTGTGCCGGTACATTTTTAACGAAATACGTGCGACATCTCCCGTAAAACCTTTGTTATTTCTGTGTTTGTGACTTTGGTTTGCAGGTTGCTTGAAAATAAATAAAAACTACTTTGAAACTGAGGTTGTTCTCGAACAGAATTGTTAACTGAAAATAAGTCTATAGAAAACTCTAGTAACCAACGTTATTACGAGGGACAAAGGTATTAAACTATTGAAGTGTTTTGAACTAAGTAATAATTATATTTTATACACGTAGGTTACATCAGGCTAATTTTTTTTGCAAATCTGAACCTTAAGAATCAAAGCAAACAATGTTTAGACAAAAGATTAGGAAAAAAAAAGGCTTTACATACTTTAACATTAACTAAATAAAGGTGCTCTTACAAAAGCACCGTAAAAACTTAAGTTGGAGCAAATGTGAAAATGTCTTAGAAAATAAAACAGAACGAGTTCAAGCCCTCGTTTAAGATATGAAAACGATTTCACAAGTCAAAACAGTTTTCGCTCCCTCGAAATTGAATTTAGCGGTTACGTAAATTTTCTATCAACCTAATAAAAATAATTTCAACCTAAAGAAATGTGTGTTTAACGTGTTTTTCATCTAATCCTAATTTTCTAATGCTTTTAGTGCAACATGTGACAGCCGTTTATAAGGCACATCTGGACAATAAAAAGTTACAGTTTAGTGCCAAAGTTTCGAAATATTGAAGAAGTTCATAGCAGTTTAGATCAAAATTGATTTTAGTTATTTCAGTCTGGAATAGACCAAGTTGGTAAGAAATAAAAGCTACGAATTTTAAAAATATGTGACAATGTAAATAAAAATACAAAGCGAAGAGAAAATGGCAGATTGAGGCTATCAAGTCACTCAATAATGATTGATGGATGCCCAACCGGATTTTAAGTATTCACTGAACAGCAAAATGTTGAAAGATATTTTGCGAAAAAATCCATTCCGTTAGGAATAATAAATTCGTTGTACAAAAATATTAATTGGAAAACAAACATGCATATCCTATAAAATGGTAATACTGAAATTGATACGAAACTTTTTGACAGCTAAACTAAATAGATGTGCCGTACGAAAGGCTTTAGTGTGTAGTGTGCATGTGTTCGTATCACGGATGGTCGCCGGCTCTACCTTAGGCGTCTTACTCGGCTGGCCGGGGGGGATAATCTTCTTGATAGAAAGCGTACGCCTTTTCACAACTCCCACCTATATTTAGGCAACAGTATCAATACCATTTTCTCACAAAAAAAGGTTATTTTTGTACTTAAACAATGTTCAATCGTACCAGTGCATCTACGATAATTGCGGGCTTATGCTGACTATATTAAGTACTGAAACCCTTAATCAAATCTAAACCAACACCATTTTTGAAATCTTGGGCAAATAGCAATTTGTATAAGTGATGCCCATCACCAGTGTTTTTACAGTTAGTGTTGTTGATGGCTTGAAGCAAGATGAAGCAACTGAACACAAAACTTTACCTCGGCGTCGTTCGGGTCCTTCGTACTTCGGTCGTCCTCCATACTCTCGTTCTCTAAGTGTTCCTCCTCCGTCTGCGGCATCAGCTGCAACTCCTCCTTCGACTTGAACTCCAGTTGAAGTATGTAGAGCGGACACAGCAGGCTCAGAATTACCTTGACATGACGACAAAGCCGATGTGGCAAAGGAAACCAGCTCGATCGATGCTATTCACTTCGACTCAAGCGACATGCTACGTCACTAGACTGGACGACGGTTGTGCAAGTGAACAGTACTCGAAATAAAAACAAATAGCAAGTCAGAATGCGATGTGTTGTCAAGCGGACATTACATAGCCGAATGCTAACATAGAAAAGTGTAACTACACAATGGCTGATAGAGCACGTCCTAAGTGCTCTTTGCGAGACTATTCAGAACACTACACAGAACAATCAGAATAATTAAAGAGATTCGAGGTAAAGTTGAATAAAGGGAATGGCTGCTGTCTGTACAAATCGAGACCTTTTGATATCGTCAACATATTTAAAACAATTGATTGAATCGAATATTTTAATTAGTCACAATCGTACAGAATAATTAATGTAACTGTGAAAGTGAACCAGACAATGGCCGATTCCGGTTATGAACAAACAAATAAATGGTTTTAGATACTATCTTATGAAATGCATTCGTAAAATATTAGGACAACATAGAACAAAACATAAATAAAGTATCGAAATCAGCGCACCATTCCCCGAAATAAAACATCTAAAAGATCAAAATGTAGGTCACTTGCAAAATCGGCGTCGACGCATCGCATGCACCAACTCATTATGAAGCTCTCGTTTCACAAACATCGAATATTTCCAATAGCCTAATCGTTACGATCGTTATTTGTTATTCTAACACTGAATCTACTATGATCGTGCCTATGATAATCTGTGCGTTAACAAGGAACAAAGAAAAAAGAGAGGTGTGTAAGAAGATTTTTACCTTCAAGTTGGTATTTTTTCGTGTTCGAAGTCCTCCCATCCAAAGATCGGCGAGGATTATTTGAGAACACGGATGTGCAAGTAGAGCTCGGTGGTTTGCTGCTACGGCTAGACTGAGGCAGGTCTGTCCCGACCAGTTCTGGAGTTCGCAGGTCAACAGTTGCTGGGCCTGGTCGTCGTCTTGCCGGTAACAGTAATCTAGCAGCTCCAGCGCTGAAAGGGGAAAGCCGTTTAGACAACGGAATCAAACTAATTTGTCTAGGCTAGTGGTTCTCAACATTCTCGGTTCTTTGTGAGAGACAAATGGGAGTAGGCATCGAACCACGTTAAGCTTGTCAATATAAAAGTACGAGTTAACTATTAACTTTAAGAATCCGAAGTCACAATCTTAAGCTTTCGGAATCTTAAAGTTAATAAATAACCCTTCTAAAAATGAAAGGAGTAACTAACACTAAATACGCACAAGAAGTCCAAATGATATAGTCTGATTAAACTGGCAAACTAGTTACCACTGTCGACTTTATTGTACTGGCAAATAAAGAAAAATTACAGACTTTTCTAAATGTTGACTAATTTTGTGAATTGAGAACTTGTGCTCAAGACGACGAAGTTCGCAATTTTACAAGATGTTTGCCAGACTCGTATACTTAATTGTGTTTAAAAACACTAATCCAAGCATTGAACTTCGCTGCGAGTGCGCTTATTAAACTTGAGAGCATCTCGAACATCTTTATGTTTGTTCTTTGTTATATTCGTGCACCTGTTATCTGTGAACTTTCAAGGAATTGCAAGTTTTATCAACAACTTTTATTGGGTAAGTTTAATGTTTTCTTATGAGTACTTTTATAGTCTATCTACTGGAGTCTCAACCGTGTTAAGATTTTATGAGCCGCCCTTCATTTGATATTGCTTCTCAAATGATGAGACCGAAGGTAGCCAGATTGGTCATTTATGATTTAACTAACAAAAAAAACTTACTCAAGTCATTTTTCAGTTCAGTTTGTGAATATCATTTGGAAATCAAACGCGAGACAAAGCGCAAATCACGAGCGAAAAGCATACCTAATTGAAATGTTTCGGTATAAACTTATACGAGTATTTCAAGGTATCTTTGTACAACATACATAATCATAATCTGAAAATAAATTATAGCGACAAATCGCTATGAGAATTTTCTTGAGTCACTATGTTCCCCTAAGATGCTTCCCTTGCGCTTTTAAATTACAGTACCTACCTACATTATTTGGCTTAAAAAATACCATAATATGACTATAAATAAGGTTTCTTAATCTCCATAACAGCCGGTCACCTGTTCTGACGCTATCCATCATACAATGACTCACAAAATAAAGGCGACACAAGATTGATTGGCTGTGTATTTTTAATGGCAACACTTTTCAGTGACTTAATAATTTATGTACGTTTCATGATAAGAAATTACTCGTAATGCCGTTAAAATCAGTAACTTGGAACCTTGTAACAAATAGAAACCACGTTTTACCGAAAACACCTTCTAGTTTTGGGTTAAGCGTGGTTACTGTTTGTCAAGAAACGATAACAGTTGATGGATGGAATTTTTTGTTGGTAGAAAAGTATTTTTGGAGGTGGTATTATATGCTTAAAGTCTAGCTAATTCAAGTAATCAAGCTAAGAAATCTTGAACCTCTAAAGTTGGTTAGTAATTTAGGTTACCTAAAACTCACCGCAATTTGCAGTATAAGCACACGCTAAGTTTGAAAGCTTAATATTCAAATCTCCGTAATATTATTTACCTAGTATAATATTTTATCTAGACCTTTCTAAAGGACGAAACTATCAAGCACAAGTTAAACAAGTAGTTTAAAGTAATTTAAAATATTACTAGTTTATAAAATAACGAATCACGTGTCTTGGCTCATAATTTAATTGTTTCCCATTTTCAATCGAATTATTTAAATCTTCAGTCAAATACCTTTATTCTCAAACTCCTTCCCGTAGTGCCTGAGCTCCTCATAGACCTCGGTCTCCATGTCATCCTCGGCTGCCTCGTGGGCCATGGCCTTGTACAGCTTGCAGGCTACTAAACTCTTGGCCAGGGCCTCTTCACCATGCGTCCACATGAGCAGCGCCATCTGGTGGCGCTTTGTCAATACTGCCCACATCTGAAAAGAAGTTTGCTTTTAGGTATCTTTCAAACTGCTAACAAACATTGAGTAATGTACAGTCGCGGAATGAAAAGGTTCGTCACCTTAGTGTCGGTTTTCGCTTGTACTAGGTACTGTAAGAGTCAAGCCTGCCAACATAACCGTGCAAGAAACAGTGCTGCTAACATTTAAATAAATATGACGTTTGCTAACGAATAAGGTTTTGCTTGTTTATTTTTCTATCCCATCAGTGCAATGTTACAAAATGTAGTTTTTTTTTTATTTAATACCTAGATAATGGCAGGTTGAACCAACAAGAAGGTTTTAGTTTATCAATCATAATAATCTTTTTGACAAGTTAAATCGTCAAACAACTTTGATCTGAATAATTTTGAACTTTACTAACGAACAGTTAAAGATTATTTTCTCTAACTTGAGATTATTCTGTAACATAGTTTCAAAAGGTAATATGTGCTCGTGATTCGTTGAAGGAATCAATTTGAAAACTGACGAACCTTTTCATTCCGTGACTGTACATTTTGTGTTTTTTTCTGATGAAAATAGAATGGCGGAGAAATTAATGTGTACAGGTCTGTCTAATGACGGCCTAGGAAAAATGGTAGAGGTCTCAAATGGACGACCAAACTCCTTGGCCGCTCGCCTGGCTGGCTAGAAACTTTTTTTTTTTTCTACCAAAACGAAATGTAATTTATTTTATTTGAAGCAATATAATTTTACATTTTACATTTAACAAAGCCTTTCAATTAATAAATATCCCTCGTAGAGTGAAAGACGTAAATTTCGTTCATGGTCCTACGAGTCGGAATGGCTTTGAAGTAATGGTAGGAAAATTACGGTAGTCCATACTTCAGAATATCGCCCGTACGAAATTACCGGATAGCAAAGGTGCTATTTCGGAGTCCCTGCAGTGGTGTCAGCGGTGACTACCTACACGGCAGCGGAAGGGTCCAGTCTTTGATAAAGACTAGATAAGGCGTACGGGAGGAGCAGCAGAGAGTCTTTGGCAGCGGTTGGCGGCAACCGAGGAGCGCTAGGGAGCGCTACATAGAACGAGCACGGCGAGCGTGAGTGTGAGGAGTCGGAGCTGGTGTGCGTATCATCATCATAGTGTGTGTTGTGAAGTGTAAAATCGTGAGTACTTTAAACCTTACTTATTGAAACAAAAAGAAGATTTAAAACGTAACTTTGGGACATTAAATTCTACATTAGTACTTTGCAATTCTCATATTTAATCTTAATTTTTAAACTAATTGTATATTCTGTTATTGTGTTTGTGTAGTTTTGTGTATTTTTATTTGCTATGTGTATTGTGTAGGATACATTTGTAACTATGGAGCCGCTAGTTAAAGTCAAGGAGGCCACTAAGGCCGCAATTGTAAGGGCATTTACAAATTTTAAAAAGCTTCCAAAGGACAGACTGACTCAAGCTTATCTTGAGACCAGGCTAGAGGTTCTAGAACAGCATTGGGGAGTCTTTTTTAAAACACAACAGGAGATTGTAAGCACTATTGATGAGGATGAATGGCAGGAATCTGACTANATTTTTAGCGTTAAGAGTCGCATCTCAAACTAATTTGAAAATTATAAATAACTTGAAAATATCGAATTGCCTAAGGCGGGAATTGAACCCACGACCTTCCGCTTGCTTCGATATTTTCAAGTTATTTATAATTTTCAAATTAGTTTGAGATGCGACTCTTAACGCTAAAAATTAAATAACTAGGATTGAAGTTCTCGTCAATACGAACCAAATGAGCCCAAACTCGATGAGGTTGTGTCGTTTCAGTGCGGATTTTCTATGGCCACCTTCCGGCTTCATCATCAGACCCCGGTTACCATATAGGATGGAAGTTCCCGTCAATACAAATCAAATGAGCCCAAACTCTATGGGGTTATGTCGTTTTTTANTTAAATAATATTTCAGTTTCAGCTGAAAATTACATAAGTTGCTGGGAAAAACTCGAGCTTATGTACAACAATAAAAGGTATTTGGTGAATAATATTTTAAAACGTTTGTTTAATCAAAAAAGCTCAAGTACAGAATCAGCTCAGGAAATCAAACACTTGTTAAGTACTACTTCTGACTGCTTAGAGTCTATTAAGAACTTAGGTGTGGATGTCTCATCTTGGGATATTTTTATCATTCACCTAATCAGTGGGAAGCTTGACAAGGAGACTAGGAAGGCATGGGAGTTAAACATTTCATCGGATGGGACCGATGAACTGCCGACCTACGAACAGTTTGCTCAGTTTTTAACAGCACGATTCAGAGGTTTAGAAAACTTGAATGAAAGGACTAGTTCTGAGAGGGTGACAGGAAGTTCCCAGTCTTATCATTCGCGAAGTGTACATAATAATATAATTTGTACATATTGTAAAGTTAGTCATAAGATTGCGAATTGTAAAAAGTTTGCCCACGAAAGTATTGAAACTCGTCGGTGTTTTGCTCAAAAGAATGGGTTGTGCTTTATTTGTTTGTTCAACAATCACTCTGCCAAGGCTTGTAAAACCAACTTCAAATGTCATATTTGTAAGAAACGTCATCATACGTTGTTACATCCCAGCGGGTTATCGAAATATACGGGAGATAAATTGGCGAAGGGCGTAGATTCTGCCATGCGGGCGGAAGGTAGGACTAAAGCTAATTCAGGCAAAGAAGTAGGGAAGCCTAATGAAAAGGTGGTATCATTTTCATCGACAGGTAATGAAACGGTCTTATTACCAACTGCCTTGGTTGAAGTCCAGTCGAAAAATGGTACATACCGCGGTGTGCGAGCCTTGTTAGATCAGGGTTCGCAAGGATCTTTCATAACGAAAGCAATGGTTAAACGCTTAGGGCTGAAAGAAAAACCTAACGAACACGCTGTGACAGGTGTAGGCGGGGATAGTAGTATATCAAAATCCACAGTGACTCTACGAATTAAGTCTAGGTTGGACCCGACTTTCAGTATGCAGGTTAACGCGTTCGTCCTGAAGTCAATTACATCTGTCATTCCATCAGTAGAGACACGTCCAGTAGATTCGATCTACTTGTTACCACAGGACCTTGCCGATCCTGAGTATTACAGACCTCACAAAATTGACGTCTTGTTAGGCGCTGAGGTATACAGCCAGGTCATACAAGCGAGCATCAAACGCAGTAGAGATAGGCGTGTGTTAGCTCAGGATACGAAGTTAGGTTGGATATTTTCAGGCGTCGTAGATACAAATTGACCAACTAAAATAGAGTAATTTTCTAACGTTGCGGTAATGCATAGTAATGCAAGTATTAAAACACTTATCTCAATGTGTAAGCGGCAATACTGTTTTTGTAAATAATCTTAAATTGTATTTTGTTAACCTATTGTGTTAAAATTGTTTCTATGTTTTATAAAGTGTGTATGTAAATATTTGTAGTATAGCCTGACCAGGAACATAAAAACCCTCGCCATGTTGCGGAAAACTAATGGTACTAATTTCTTTTAATGGCAACAGTAACTGAAAACTTCATTGAAATGTCACCTTGCATGTCAGTCTATTGCTGTCAAAGTGTAAACAAACTTTATTTTGAATGTGCGCAATTGATATTGTGAATTAAATTGCTAAAATCTTTTTATAGTCGTGATAGAAAAGTGGTTCACAATGTGTTAAAGTATTTGTCGAAGAGAAATACTAAGGGTTCGGACAATATTTTCATTGAATAATGTTTCCGACAAAGGTTGTCAAATTGACTGACATGTTTATCGTATAGTACAGTCCACTATGAAAATTAGCTGTAGTTTGTTTCAACTACCAATTTTAAATTTTTTTGTCACTTTCTACACACACCGGCAGATTTAGAGGAACGGAAAAAAAAGCATCAATATCATCATTATTTTAGGAAAAAAATGCCTAATTATGACATTATTTTTTAATTTAATTCTAAATATGAAAAAAATAATTGCCAACAGTATATTTTTTTAATTATTTTGTTTAAATTACCCCATCAACAGTTTCGTTGAGTGTTTTGAATTGAATGAAGCTTTTGCTAATTTGGATTTCTTTTACGTGAAAGATGTTTTTTTCTGAGAATTTTGTTGTGTAAGCATTCAGTTACTTATAAGGGTTTATTATGCCCAGCTTAGCACCGTCAGAAATCATTAAGGCAGATGAAATGAGAAGTAACGGCCATGCATACAAATCGGCTGCCGTAAGACGTCGTTGATCAGTATCGACCACCCATGGCAGTAACCAACGGTACAGATTGATCATTTCTGTCGTTAGGAGGAGGGTTCAAGTCAGAAAAAGGCGTACTTCGCGACGGGATGACCGTTTTTTACAACTTCGAGTTTTCAGAAAGTCGCGGTTACCTGCTGTTCAAGCCAGAAATAACCTTAAAGACACTCGAGGAGTAAGAGTGACTGAGCCCACAGTTCACAGGAGATTTACTGAAGTTGGTATAGGGTCGTGCATACCCGAGAAAGCTCCAACTTGTGACACAGCACCGAAAAAACATATTGAACTTTGAAAGAAGTACCGAGTTTGAAGCGTTCATGAGCAGACATTGCAGTTGAATATTCAAGTTCTGAATTTGATTATTGATGAATAATAAAATAAATCCTACTAGCTCGATTGATGGTTTCATTTAATTTATTTAAACCAGGTTACCTATAATAATATTTTTTCGTTAATTTATGAAAATATCAAATTAGCCCGTAATCCTGAATCCTGATACATAAAGTTAGCCTATTAATTTAACACAGGTACGACTGTACTCAGTGTTGCACTATCAAATGCAATTGACGCGCCTCTATGCCAGGGTTTTTATGTTCCTGGTCAGGCTATATACTTACTACAATGCCTCGCTGTAGGCAAGGATGTTTCTTTACTTTATAATATATGTCATTGTATGGTGTGTAATGTGTTACCTCTAAAAAAAGAGTTTTTTTTTTGTTTCTTGTTTTTAAGATAATTCTAAAGGACATTTTGCAATAAATGTCCTTTGGCGGGCGGAATGTACAGGTCTGTCTAATGACGGC